TCATTTAGTATTACTGACAAGGCAATACAAGCAATGAATTAAGTGACATTTTGCAGAGACACAAGTTTTCAGACAAGAACCGGCATCTCACTCCCAACTGCATGTTTATAATCTGTTAAAAAACATTTACTACTAAGTAAGCAATACAGTATGACTTCCAGGATCAGACATACAGCTAAATAATCACAAGTAATTTCAAAAGTTAATAGTTATCCCCCTGGGAGCAGGAAAGGGATGTAAAGCATTAGAACGGACTGACCGCGGAAGACGTGGAGCCACCATCTCTAGAAGTGTTCAAAAACATGTAGATATGGCACTTGAGGACATGGTGTAATGATGAGCACGGCAGTGGTGCTAAATTAGTTAATAGCTGGACTTGAAGTACTTTTCCAGCTTTAATAATTCTCTGATTCTAGGATAAAAGCAAGGAGTACAAGAAAAAGCTCTGCAAAATAATTTGATGGGTTGCAGCATATAAGCATTTTTAGATCCTATCCTGTTCCTTTCAAATTATCAACTGGCTAATCACTGTTTCCTATTAAAACTTAACCTCTGTTAGTTAAATCTACCTTGCCTGTTGCTATACTTCCATGTACTCAACATATCCGGTCAGTTCCAGATAATGAATACTGCTAACAGCTCTCCTTAACTCTGAAAACCAATCACGCCTTCATGTGAGAGCCAGCACTTGTCTACATACACATTGGAGAATTTGGTTTTGGCTCTTTATCTCTAGATTTCTCATTCCCTGATAACCATTAGAACTTGGCACTTCTCCAGCATTGGCTCTGTTCTTTTTCACCTTTGAGATCTTTTGTGCTCTATTACAGGTGTATTTCAATGCATACAAAAGCATTTCAGTTCAACTTTATATCTGTGGTTCATTCAGCTACTTTTCTTTTGTAATGCTGAAAATGAGATAACCTACCAATATTCTTCATACAGAATTCAGAATGTATAGGTTTGTATCCTGATGGATAATGTTCATCTAACTGTTGTGGAGAGTGGAGGTCAGAAAGAGTGGGTTTTTCAGGGCAGGAAGGGGACAGCGTTTCACAGGTTCATACCAAGTCAGCCACTTTTTTTTCCAAATGCCCAGTGACAATCACATTTAATGTATATGTGTAGGATGTTAACAAACCCACTATGACCCAGCCAAACTCAAAAGTGAATCTCATCTGTTTCAGTTAAACAAGAATGTCAGTACTCACAGCATAAAAAAAAAAATAATAAAAAAAATTATGTGTATAATTTTTAGCCTATCTGAAGGTTACCTTCTTTCTATTTAGGAAAGTATTTGCTTACTGTGAGGCAGCTCCCTTTTCCTTATCTCTCTGCACCAATTGCTTCCATTAACAAGGAGATCCAAAGCAATGATAAGTTCCTGAAAAATCAGTTGTACTTTCAGCAAGGCAAAAGATAAAGAATAATTTTCAGAAATGATTATGAAATACCTTCTCCTTGGGGGAAAGCTATAAAGGTATCTTACAGCAGATGACCATTTTCACAATTGACTTCTTGAGGGAGAGGAGGGTTCTCTGTGTTATTCATAAAATGATAAACAAATGATTTAATTTTGTACAAACAGGTCAATAAGTAATTCTACATGCTTTAGATTTCTTGATCTTTAGAGTAAACTAGGGAAACTTATATCTTAAATCTGCTTCCATTTAGCATGCTTTAAGAACAGCATCCAGAGCACGAGGAGACTACATTATTAATAGAACTTACTCATAAATCACGTTTTTCATTTGATTTAATTGACCTTTGTGCAAACAGTACTTCAAAGGCTGCAGATGCCTTTTTGCTTATGCCAGTCAAAATTCCTTTTACAGGATTTTTTTGTTTTTAAGACACAGTAGAGGACAAGTTTGCTCATTTCTTCTCTTAAGTATTCTTTAAAAATTCATAATGCTTTAGTATGAGTTTCTGCAGTGTAAAAATAGGCATCCTGTATTACAAACTCATACAAAATACATCACTAGCTTCAACATTAATGTAATATCATTCTGGAAAGACAAAAATAGCAGGCAGTCAACTGACTATACCCTAAACTGGTACGTGGTTAGCTGAAGTATTCTTAAACAAAGCAGCCTATTTAAGTCAAATACATGATGGCATGTTCTTACTGTATTACAGGAACAAAGGTACTCCATAAGTAATACTGAAGCAAGTTCCTTATAATTCTTAACCTACTCCCACTTCAACAAGAAGGAAGCAAAAAACATGTTTTGGTCGCACTGCAAAGAATTATCTGGAGGTTGCTCTGTTTTGCTTAATGTTGAGAACTACTTTGTGGAGCTTACACATATGTGCTTGACTAAGAAAGCAAGAGATACTTTTGTAATAAACTCCAAGGCATTTTAAATACTAGTGACTTTTGTAAACCATCCCCACAAAAAAAAAATTGTGTGTGTAATCTAAAAATAACTAAAAAACGATTTTATTTTTCTGGATGTTCCCATGCACCTATCACATGTGCCAGAAGTTAGATCAGTCCTTCACAGAATTCTGTCAGTGTGCTTCATTGTATCATTTCAGGTTGAAGTGCTTTGATATTCTCAAAGCAAAGCATCTCAACTTAGGGGTTACTGCAGTGAGCATGTGTTAACTTTTTTAACCGCTATAGTCCTTTCACACAGATATAAACAAGCTGCTGTTCATGTTTGATGCCTGGTATTTTTGCCAAGAGAAGTGGTAATTCCTTACATTTATTTACAATGGATCCATCGCCATGATGACTTCATAAAAATCAGCTTATAATTGCAACCACTTAGTCTGCACAGAACCACAATTAGATAATTTTTAATGGAAGCATCCGTGACAAACTTCAAACAAACTACTTTTTCAGAAAGTAATTTTTGTAAAATATTGGTTGTTTTTTTTTTAAATTTCATCGTTAAATGATTATTAGAGATTATATGGACTACAGCCCTTCTCTCTTGAAATTAAAAATGGAATTCACCAAAAAAATCAACTGTCTTTCTACAGAACAGAGTGCCGGTCAAGGTATCACTGTCTGCTCTATTAAAGACAGCTAGCTTTCATTCACAAATGTTTTAACCCCTATCAGGTTTAATAATAATGATCTGTTCTTTGCTACCATAACATTAGGATCATTACAAGATGTCTGTTATATAGTGTTGCATATCACCCCTTAAATTACTTATGAGTGCAGCGGTGAACCACCAGACATTTCAACAGCCATCGAGCTGAGGACATTTCTTTCAGATAAAAGTAGGTGCTGTCATTGGTTTAACAGAAGCTCTCACTAAGATTTCTGCTCATGCTTTCCACCAAGGACAAATGTTCTGTACTTCATGCATGTTGAATAGAAAGGGTGATGGATAAAGTCAGTGTTTTTATTTTAAAATCTAACTCCTTTTGCAAAACCTTGGAAATAAAATCTACTTAAGGCAGCCCGTACTTGGTGAGTAAAGCTGCTTTTACATTGGTGATCTTGGCCAGAAACTCTGTAAGCACTCAGTCTATGTTCTAAAACCGCAGTTCCCTAAAACATCATCTCACGTCATCTGGCTTCCCTCCCAACAAGAGATAACCAGCACATCTCCTCGGTAAACCGTACAGAAAACACACAGGTAACCTCTAGCAGAGAACGTAAGGGAGATGGTAAAAGGAAAGAGAGAGAACGTCTGACATAGGAAAAAACCAACCAACCAACCAAAAAAAAACCCCAAAACGCTTCGAGTCTGCTTCCAGTTCAGCAAACTGCCGGAACGAGACCCGCGCCGGCCGCTCCGCGCCGACCTCGCCCCGACCCCGTGCCCTGACCCGCACTGGGCGGGCATCGGCCGGCACCGGAGCCCGGCCTGGACTGGGCACCGCAGGGGCGGCGCCGCGCCCCCGCCGGCAGCGGCTCACAGAAACACAGAACGGGTCAAGCTGGAAGGAACCACTGCGGGTCATCTGGTCCAACCTCCCTGCTCAAGCAGGGTCATTCCAGAGCACATGGCACAGGATTGCGTCCAGACGGTTCTTGGACATCTCCAGCGAGGGAGACTCCACAACCTCTCTGGGTGATCTGTTCAGTGCTCAGTCACCTGCACAGTAGGGAAGTTCTTCCTCGTGTCTAGGTGAAACTTCTTGTGCATCAGTTGCTGCCCATTGCCTCTTGTCCTGTTGCCTGGCACCACCGAACAGAACCTAGCTCCATCCTCTTGTCCCTCCCTCTTTAGATATTTATACAGAGTTCGCAACAGACCCGGAGACTGAAGCCCCGCACTCGCTGAGCGACTGAGCAAGAGCACTCGCCCCCTGGCGGTCTCCGCACGCCCTTAGGCCCCTTACCAGCCCTCCTCCCGCCGCCTCCCGCACCACCGGGGCCTCAGGGGGCCCGGGCCGACACCGAATGGGGTGGAGCCGCCACTGCTCCACCCACCCCGCGCCCGCGGTGCGCCGCGGCCGCAGCAGGCGCTCATCATCGGCGCTCATCGTCGGCGCTCATCGTCGGCGCTCATCGTCGGCGCTCATCGTCGGCGCTCATCGTCGGCGCTCATCATCGGCGCTCATCATCGGCGCGCCGGCCGCTCTTGCCCCGCCCGCCGCTCACGAGTGCGGCTGCGCGGGGCGCTGGGGCCTGGCCGCGGGGGTGGTGGCGGCGACTGTGGGTCTGCGCGTGTGCGGCGGCCCAGGCGGGCGGCCCAGGCAGGCGCGTCCGGCTGTCGGCGGAACGGCACACAGCGGGTGAGGCCCGGGGAGGGCGCGGGGTGGGGGGCGCAGGCAGAGCCAGACTCGCGGAGGGACGGAGGGAGGGAGTCAGTCCGCGGCGGCGGTGCCGGTGCCCCGGGGCGGGCGGCGCGCTGGCCCTTCCCCTGTGGCGGGGCAGAGGAGCCGTGCGGCCGGGCGGCAGTTCCCGGTGCCCCCGGTGAGCTGCGCGGTGCTGGCAGCGGCCAGAGTTCGGAGGACCTGCTGGAAGAGGAGAGCCCAGGAGGCCTAAATGTCCCGAAATCCAGTGGGGAATTTAATTTAACTTATTTTAATTGTTTTCCCACGTATTTCCTCATCCCAGCCTGCTGAGCCTGGCAGTCCCTGCGGTCTCTTGAGAACTGATGCCATCCTGACGCCCCTGGCGGGGAGCTGGGGCGAAGGGACCCCTGGGCTGGTGTTCAAAGGCCTTTCGATGTCCCCGCTCCCCATTTGTTTGTGTTAATTCCCCATGCCCGGGCGGTCTCCTGCCACGGAGGCCTTTGTTCAAAGCTTCCGTGGCGGCTGTGATTAAGCTGTTCAGAGCTTACCTTGCTCCCAGTTGTCTCTTGTGAGGCACATGAGGTGAGTTCAGCGTTACTGGTGTCTCACAGGCAGGCTGATCGCGAAGGCATGAAATTCCTCGGGGCTGCCCCGCATGCTGGGAGGTTGAGAAAGCACAAAACCAGTTCGAAATAACTGATCGGCGGACTTTAAGACCTATGTTCCACTCTGAAGTTGCTTAACATTCGTGCCGTAATTTTGATACTGCTTTCTGCTGAAGAAATCAGAGGAAATAAACCCTCTTTCACAAATTCGTTTGAATACACTTCATATGAATAACACTCGCTTGTGATCAGTTTTACAGTTCCCTGTTTTTAATTCGCTTTGCAGGACAATAGGAGGATGTATAGTTTAATAGCATAAAAGAACAAAAAAAATCCCTGTGATATCTGCATCTGTTGTAAGGGAGGACTTCTTTATACTTCCCATTTTATTTCTAATTTGACAGTACACTATGTGGCTCTGTACAGCTGATGTTTTGGTGTCCTTAGGTTTTGACGTTTCACAGCCCACAAGCTAGTTGTAGAGAAATGATGAATAAGAAAATGATTTTTTAAAATATTCTTCTATTAGTAAGGTTGGATTTGTTGGTTTTATGTGACAGTAGCTGTTTAAATAAAATCAGGTTAGTAAGTATCTCTTTCTCACCTAATTCTTGAAAAAAGATATTCCCATGAAGCACTTTCTCTAATTTGTGCAAATGTATGGTGTCTCTGGTAGGGATTTAAAGGTGCAGCATCATGGTTATGAAAGCTTCAGTAGAAGATGATGATTCAGGCTGGGAACTCGGTATGCCTGACAAGATGGAAAAGAGTAATACAAGCTGGATAGATATAACCCAGGATTTTGAAGAAGCTTGTAGAGGTGAGTTGTATTCCTTGTGTTCTCAGAAAACTTGGAATCCTTTGGAGTACCAGGCATAGTGATTTGAGGTCTTCTGGTCTATAGTTTGACCCAGATTCAAGCCTCAGATGAATGAGCTACATTGATTCTGTGTTAACTGTGAGGATAGAAATGCCAGAACCACCCCACCTTGCTCCTTTTTCCAGATTACGTAAATATCTTTTTAATTCACTTTTTGTCTTACACATTTTCTCACCTGCTTTTTTTCCTTTGCAAAGATTTCTTCTTATCTCTTCTGCCAAGTGGAAATATCATTCATGCATGCGGAATCAAGACTGTTTTCTTTCCTGTATATTTTTGGATCTATAGGGTCTAAGAATTCATTTAATTCACCTTGTCATCTCTGAAGCAAGGCTGAGTTTCTGAAATGATGTAATGCATCCAAGTAACAGGGAAATAGTTGCTTGCATTTAAACAGTGCCTTTATTGTTGTTAGATGCTACTGCTAGTTTACAGTTCTTCAACTGATTTAATGATGACAGTAGTGAAAAATAAATATAAAACTGCAGCTTACCACATGCATTGTTACATGATGATAAACACAATTTCTGTATGCCATCAGATAATTTCTGTATATTACTTATATCTGTATACTTATCAAATGTATCTAAAGACTTCTTTAAAAGTAATGAGGAAAAGCAAGCCTTTTAGTAGTCTCCCCTGGAAAAGATTAAGACACCTGCACAAAGGAGCACAGGAAACAGCTCATGCTGCTATTTCATAGAATAATCATCATAGAATGATTTGGGTTTGAAGGGACCATCTTGTTGCAAATCCCCTGCCATGAAGAGGAGCATCGCCTACCAGAACATGTTGTTCAAAGCTTCATCCAGCCTCATCTTAAATGCTTGCAGGGATGGGGCATTCACGACTTTTCTGGGCAGCCTGTTCCAATAACTCACCACTCTCACAGTGAAGAATTTCTTCAAATATCTAAAACTCTTTAGCTTAAGAGTTGTCCTATCACTGCATGCCCTTGTAAAAAGTCCCTTCAGCTCTCTTGTAGCCCTCTTTCAGGTACTGGAAGGCTGTTAGAACGTCTCCCTGGAGCTGTCTTTTCTCCAGGCTGAGCAGCCCCAGTTCTTTCAGCCTGTCTTCATAGGAAAGGTGCTCCAGCCCTCAAGTCATTTTTGTTATTCTCATCTGAAGTCACTCAACAGGTCCCTGGTGTTCTGTGCTGGGGACCCCAGACTTAGACGCAGCACTCCAGGTGAGGTCTCACGAGAGCAGAGCAGAGGGGCAGAATCATTTCCCTCTACCTGCTGGCCATGCTGCTTTTGATGCAGCCCAGGATATCAGGTTTCTGGACTGCAACTGCGCAGGGTGTTTAGTAATTCTAAACTCTCTTTTAACTATTAGAATAACAGAGAGAAATGAAGGTAGACTCTGAACCACTGGGTTTCTTATAATCTTTCAGTCTTGAAAGTGCTTTGTAAGTAGAAGCAAACGAGGGTCGAATAGAAATGTCTGATCTGCTTCCCAAACCTTGCTTCTTAGCATCAGAGGGTTTGGTGAGTGACAAGACTATGCTGGAAAAGTTATGCTAGCAGGATGATTGTAACTGTTTATTCTGTCTGTTCCTTTATAGAACTGAAGTTAGGAGAACTGCTTCATGACAAGCTGTAAGTATGCATGGGGGATAGTTTTCATTTTTAGGTAGGATCAGTTCAGGTATGTTAATATTTCCTGATAACTAATCTTTTTTAAACTTCAAATAAAATATTTGAAGTATTCAGAGTATCATTATCCTCAGCAGTATGTATAAGCTGCACATGTATGAATGCTGAACAATTCTCATGGTGTCAGTATTACATGACATTTTCAATTAATCAATATATTTTAGAAGTTCATTGCACATCTTATGATCAGTGGTGATGACACTTCTGAACCTACTGAACTATTTTATGTGGACGTGCTTTTATAAAAAAATGCCAGAAAGACTTTAATACTTTTAATTTGGTTGCCTCAGATGTCATTATCAAGTTTAGTATGAACAATCCATATGCTTTAATGTAACTTAAATGACATGCTAAAACAGAAAGTGAGAACTCTACAGATTGAGAAAAAGTATATTTAAAAAAAAAGCATGTGCGAAAGGCTTGCTGAATTCATTAAAGAAAAGATTAAATTGTTTAGCCACACAAATCTATTCACTTGCATAAAGCAAAAAGTGCTTATTTGAGACTAATAGCTCAGAAAACAGAAGCACACTATTAAATCAAAACCTGTTCAAAAATACGTGCAAGGATGTCACCATGCTCTGTAGAATTAAAGCACATTTTCAGGTTTGATTTTATACATAACAGCATTTCAGAGCAAATCCACTTCTCAGAATTTAAGTGTGCCACATGCAATAACCTTTTTATATTATAAAGACTGGTGCAGCAGTTCTGATAAATGTCATATGTACCAGAAGCGAGACACTGTACCCCTTCTTCTATAGTTGTCTTTATTTGATGTGGTTCTTCTGCAAGCTCCTATGCCCTGACTGCAAGTTCAATATACTGCTGAATATGCTAGCCTGTGTCAGATATATATTGTCATTAGTTTGTGGGGGATGTATCTTATTTGGTTTTTTGGATGTGGTGTAATAAAGAACAGCTTGCTCAGTTAATACTCGTTTATTGTGTTAGGTGATCTTTAAAAAGGTGCTGTCATTATGAGGTGTATAGAAACAAGTATGCATAGATGTAGTAGTGGGATATTTAGCTCAGGAGTGGTTTTCAGCTTTAAAGAAAGGCAAATAGTTTTCTTCTACTTTCAGCCATCTGTTTTCCTACTGACTTGTTGAGAGATCCTCAAGTTGTGATGATCTGAAAACCATGATCTCTGAAGATCAGTACTAAAGTTCACATACCTTATTGTCTGTGGTCAGAATCTAGTGTACTCAGTTTGTCATCATATGCTTTTACATTAGTTTTTGAAGACTGTTTTGTATAAAACAGTTACATTCAGCATGTGTTTTTTTAATCTGTGTTCTTAGTTTTGGTCTCTTTGAAGCCATGTCTGCCATTGAAATGATGGATCCCAAGATGGATGCTGGTATGATTGGAAACCAAGTTAACAGAAAGGTTCTTAACTTTGAGCAAGCTATTAAGGTTTGTGTGAATTTCCTAGTTTTGTGAAAATATGATTGTGAAAATTGTGAAAATTTCCCTGTCTGTAAAAATATGATACAGTTTTATCAAATTACAGTTAAGCACAATTCAGCATAATTAATGTTTTCAATCTTTACTTTTTTTTAATTTTAATTTTGGGTAATAAAAAAAATAAAGTAAGAAATAGCTTGTGATGTTTACTTTTTCTTTTTTTAATTTTGTTTCCTGCATTATTATGATGCTAACTCTTCAGTGAAAAGTACTGTGAAATTGTTGTGTATTGATACCTCAAGTAAATATATTTTAGAAATGGTTTTGCAAGTCACCCTGTGCATTCCCAAAACGTGTCTTTTATGTGAAGATGTATTTGTTAGCCCCTATTTAGCTGAATGGAAGCCAGCTTCCTTACAAGTCAGAATTAACACTTCATGATATTATCAGTTTATTAGCATTGAACACAAGCTGAGTAATTTGACAACATTGACAGTAGTGATTAACTTTTGATTTATGGTCAAGATAATTTGGTTTAGGGCAGATTGAAAGACTTTCTGTTATTTTGGGAAAAAAAAGTGCACTCAAAGGCAAAAGTATTTTTTATGGTGGACTTTGTTTCAAATGGACTAAGAGAACTTAGAATGTATGCAGGATTGTATGCACTGGACAAATAAAATGATCAGAGTACAGCTGCAGCCTTTTTGGTCCTGACAGTAAAACTGTACAAGTGTTTGCAGTTTAAAAAGCAGTTTTCAAAGAATTGGTCCTGCATATTATCCCTTGTTCAATCTTTAATATGATTATACATACTATTTTGTGATTTTAGTGTTGACAGTTAACTGGTTTTAAACTTCTATTGTCTACTTATAAGTCAGAAATGGTACTTTAGCATTCTCTTTGAGTAGCTTTATGTTTGTTCAATGTTTAACACAATGATAGGAAGGCAAAGTTTTTCAGAATTTGAGACATTGTGAAGCTGATCAGTAAAGCTAGTGACATACAATTACTCTGAAATCTTAAGAAAATTTTAATTTTTGGCTGTACAGATAAGTTGTATTTTGCCTATATGCTTCCATAGTGTTTAGGGTTTTTTTCCTTGTTTTTTAAGGATGGCACCATTAAAATAAAGGATCTCACTTCACCTGAGCTGGTAGGAATAATGGATACGTGTTTTTGTTGTTTGGTAAGCATTTCTCTGTTCTTCAAATTAGGTGGTTAGGCTTAGAAAATATATATGTTTTATTTTAATTTCCACTTAGTTATTTGCATTGGCTATTATAAAAGGTATAATATTGATTTCTTGTTGTTTTACTATAGGAAACGTGAATAATTTTAAATGATTTAAAAGAAGGTTTTATAGTTTCTTGTTTTATGAATGTGTGTTATCCGATTGCCTGCTGTGTTTTGGTGTTTGAGTGTGTTGGAAGCCGAGTGTGCAGTAACTTGTAGCACTTTGTTGCTCCTTTCTGTACAGCCATAATTGGCTGAGCTTACAGGGGCATTTTGAAGAAAGAAAATAAATCCATTTAGAAAAAACAAATAAAGTATCACTTACTTGCTAATTGTGAATTTTTTTCCCTAGGTATGTGTTTTAATTACCTCAGTAAATGATACTAATTTCCAGTTACTCTTTAAAATTATATCCATAACATTACTTTGTTTTTTAAAACATTTCAAATCAGTTTAGTCCAAAAGACATCTAAGGATGACTGTACATCTGATACAGTGTAATGTAATTTGTCTTCTGCCCCTAGCCCCTGAAGTGCGCTTTTTTTGAAAAGGGACAGTGATCATATTAAAAATATGGTCCTACTTTAGAAATTTAAATTTAAATTTAGATTACGGAAGCTTTCCCTGTAGCTTAAAGCAATGTGAAAGTAGAGAGGGGGGATTGTGAAAGAAGCTCTAAGTCACAGAAGAAAAAGAACATGCAGAATATTAGTGAGTTGTTTCATAGCCACTTGCATTTCTTCATTCAGTATTCGTATAGAAAAAGCTTTTAAATCTGATGGTCTCTTAACTTAATGTCATGTCTAGATTGCAGAGATTAGACCTGAACTTTATCGAACACTAGAATTTTAGGCTTGTTATAGGCTTTAGTAACTTATTATCTGCCACAGCCATCAGATGGATAAAGGTTGAAACACCTTCACTTGCCCTTTTTTGGTAGATGGAAAGTTGCCATAGTAAGGAGTTCTTTAATGAGTCTTTGAAGCACAGTAAGACGGAAAAAGAATGGATCTATAAAAATGAGGACTTGACTGTCATGAGTAAAACACCTAATTTTCTTTTCTCTAGATAACGTGGTTAGAAGGACATTCCTTGGCACAGACAGTATTCACTTGCCTTTATATTCATAATCCAGACTTCATAGAAGATCCTGCTATGAAGGCTTTTGCTCTTGGGATCCTAAAAATCTGTGATATTGCCAGAGAAAAGGTTAACAAAGCAGCTGTTTTTGAGGAGGTATGTGTTTTAGTATCTCCTATGGTTATGTACATAAACAGTCTGGTAGGATGTCACTTGATGAAAATATGAAAGGCATATTGATATTAAGGATTTATGCAGAAAATAGTTACCTCAAGCTGGATTTGGGCAAGAAAGTCACCCAAGCCATTGAGTATATTCAGTTGCATAGAATAAAACTGGACATTTATACTTGACGGAGTTAAACAAAAGCACACCCTGTGCACAAACCCACTCACCCATCCCCCCAAAAAAGAAAAACCAACAAAAGACCCAAAACCCAAGAGGAAAACAACCCACCAAAACCGAAAACAAACAAAAAGACAATCCCAAATCCTAACCTGATAATGTAGCTACAATTTTTTATATTTCACTACATATTTTCCTTGATTATTTTTTTTCAGGAAGATTTTCAGTCGATGACTTACGGATTTAAAATGGCCAACAGTGTGACAGATCTTAGAGTTACAGGTACAGTTTGTGCTTTCTGCGTATCTGTCCATCAGTCGCTTTCTCTTTTGAGCATCTGATTACTTTCAGCCACACCTGATGAATTGGTATGAGTCTCAGCTGTTAAGTTTTTCTGTTAGTCATGTGGAAATTGCTGACTAGGTAAAAAGAGATCAAATTATTTTTCCTTGAAGAAAAGATTCAGCTGTCTAATTGTTATGAGAAAAAGAAGTGCTTTTAGATACAATGACAAAGTGACTGGGCATGAGCTCATCATGAGATGGATACAGGTGACTGTAAAGTGCACTGCTTGAATTCTGCTTTTTTGCCTTACAATTTGTTGTCTTCAAAACAGGTTGCTTTAGAATAAAGTGCAATCCAGTAGTTCTACAACTATAAATACGTATGTTATTAGGTACATAAGTATGTATTTTAGTCTTTTGATGCACCTTTTTTCATACCTACATTAGTTTGCTATTGATTTATTTTTGAGAAATTTGTGAATACTGTAGCTTTGAATCAGTTGGTCTATACTCTGATTTTTCAGTTGTTGCATGACATCCCTACCCATCCCTACAAGAATATTTTTTGTCTAGTCTCCGGCTAATGTAAAGCACTCCTAAACTTGACTTTCTCCTCAAAACTTTTTTCCTCTGAGTGATGTAGGTGTGCATGGGAGTGCTTCTCAGCTTTTAATTCTTCTGTGACTTTTTCCAGGTATGCTGAAAGATGTAGAAGAGGACATGCAAAGACGAGTGAAGGTATTGTTTTCACATTCGCCTTGTCAATTATATTTCAAGTGTACTTAACATAGGTTTGGGAGAGGGAGTTGGATTATGAGGAATGCAGGAGGTTTGTGTCATTAAATGGTGGGGTTTTTGAAGAACTGCCATAATAGTTTGTGTAACATGCTTTTAGTGTGACTTTTAGCTAAAGATTGTGAAGTCTTCTGAGAGAGAAGACTTTTCTGTACTCTTTAGTAGTTGCTTCACTAGTAGAAGGTGGAATCATGATGTAGAAGATAACACTGGGCTGGGGCACAGAAAGGATGAATGTAACTTCTGGTTTCTAGGCAGATATATTATGTAATGTTAAAGAAGTTATGTAATTTTTCTTTACCACAGTTTACACTATAAAATGTTCATGCACTTTCCTTGCTTATTTGCAGAGTTTACTGAGATACATCTCATTACTGTAGGAGAGTCATTCAAATACCTGGACTATATATTAAGGAATTTTGAACTTGAGAATGATTTTTGGCTTATTTAACAGATGGACGTTCTGGAGAGGGTAAAGGGATTTTATCAGTAGGTTGCCTTTGCAATTCTTGATAAATTATTTGAAATTTCTTTACCTTCTAGAGCACTCGAAGTCGACAAGGAGAAGAGAGAGATCCAGAAGTTGAACTTGAAGTAATTAATTGTTTGCTTTTTCCCCTGGATTTCTTGGATGTAAATGGGAGATCTAAATGTGATATAACCACACCCCTGCATATAAAAAGCAGCCTGGGGAGTGTGATCAACCAGTAACATGTGGAAGAGCTGGCAAACAGAGCAGGGCACATTAGCCAGGGCATGCTGAGGCAGTTGGTGTGACAGTTCACGCAGGGAGGGCAGGAGTCCTCTGGGCAATTTTGGGTGCCACAATATAAAAAGGTTATAAAGCTCTTAGAAAGCATCCAAAGGAGGGCAGTGAAGATGGTGAAGGGCCTTGAGGGGAAGCCGTATGAGAAGCAGCTGAGGTCACTTAGTCTGCTCAGCCTGGAGGAGACTGAGGGGAGACCTCATTGCAGTCTATAACTTCCTTGTGAGGGGAAGAAGAGAGGCAGGCACTCTTCTCCATAGTGGTCAGTGACAGGACCTGAGGGAATGGCCTGAAGCTGGGTCAGGGAAGTTTTGGCTGGATATTAGGAAACGACTTTACGACTTTTCATGCAGAGGGTAGTTGGGTACTGCAACAAGCTCCTTAGGGAAGTCACAGTACCAAGTCTGACAGAGTTCAAGAAGTGTTTGGACAACATTCAGACATGTGGTGTCATTCTTTGGGTGCTCCTGTGCAGGGCCAGGAGTTGGGCTGGCTGATCCTTGCGGGTCCCTTTCAATTCAGTATATTCTATGATTCTAGATTTAATGCCTATTGCTTAGTAATTAGCAGTATAATTTTATTACAGCATCAACAATGTTTAGCTGTGTTCAGCAGAGTCAAGTTTACCCGGGTACTGCTGACTGTTCTAATAGCATTTACAAAAAAAGAGGTATGTTCATTTGGTGTTTCTGTGTTCACATTGTGATCTTTTGAAATAATCATTTTCGTGAAGATCAGGCAATTATTCTCTAGATTAAGGAGATTTGAATTGATGTGGGTGCAGGTAAAGTGTTGAAAAAGGCCTTATGGCGGCAAACATTCAGGTTTTGTTCAAACACAGGGAAGGCTAGTAGCTGACGTTAATATGGCCTTGCAGAAAGACAGAGTATTCATTATAAAACACTTAAAAATATTTATGGATTTCAAATTATGCTTTTCAAACACATGAATGAAACTTTTCTTACTTGATTTCAGTCCCCTCCTATGGAGTTACCTGACATTGAAGTGTTTTGCCCATCTCTAAAGAACTATTAGCTTTTCCTTGCATGCGATACTGAATTTGTACCTAGATATCTTTGGTCTGAGAAGAGGAATTAAAATAGCATTCCATGAAATTTGCCTATTTTTTTGAATATATGATTTCCTTATTGCTGAAAGGGGAAGGAACTTCATGAGTTAAGGCAGAGGGATAGAATCACGTGCTCCCAAAGAGTAGTCTTTCACATAGTGAATACAAGACTTCCAGTTGTAATTATTGTAAAGTCTTATACAGTGTTGAACGTATGTATAGATATGTAAAACAGAAAGAATGTTATTGCGCAGAAATGTTGGATTTATTGTTCAGAATTGGTTGTATAAGAACATCAGAACCCTAATATTCTTTTTTCTTATACTAGCATTAGTTATATAGTCAAAATATGTTGGTTCATAATGTGAATAATTGTTTCCTGCCTTTCAGATGAGTGCAGTTGTGGAAGCTCAGAAACTAATGACTCAGGCAGCTGACTTGCTTTCTGCTATCCACAATTCATTGCATCATGGTATGCAGGCACAGAACGATACCACTAAAGGAGGTATGTATCAAATTATACCATTTTTTCCTTTCTTAAATATGCTCTCTTCATAAATGTAAATATCTTTGTGTATTTAAAAGAAGTTAAAATCACTGTTTACTTTGAAATAATAACACTCATTATACAAGTTGTTACACATTTGCATTCTTGGATTTTAATTTTATTTCACTAAATGGTGGTTCTCCTGAAAGCAATACTGTCAATTCATAGCCAGAGGTAATGTGAACTTTTGGTTAAGTGCATTGCACTTCAAATCAGTGCATATGTTATTTTAAAATAGGGAACAGCACCTCACTGTTTCTACAGGTATGTGTGGAGGGTTGAGGGTTTTTTTTAAATAGTAATCAGTGTCTTAATTGGGTAGTTAGAGTCTCTGTAAGTTAACTCACAGATAAAAACTTCATTTTGGCCAGTTGAATTATTTGTATTATACTTGCAAGTTTGAAGTAAGTTCCGAAAACATGGCTTATATGCACCTTTTCTCTGTCTCTATCCCTTTCTCCTTCATTAGATCATCCTATTATGATGGGCTTTGAGCCCCTGGTTAATCAGAGATTGCTGCCACCAACTTTCCCTCGATATGCAAAAATAATTAAAAGGGAAGAAATGGTCAGTTATTTTTCCAAACTAATAGACCGAATAAAAACTGTATGTGAAGTAGTCAACTTAACTAATTTGCACTGTATACTGGTAAGCATTAATATTTCTTATTTATTGCCAAATATAAGATCTGAAAATGTAACTTGCAAAAAATCATTTCATATATGCATGGTGTTGCTCACTGGAGAGAAAACTGAACGCTGTATATGTATTTGGTGTTTCTCGTAGTGTACAATTCCAAAGTTTACTGTCTTTCCTGATATTTAATATTCTTCTTTTTTTGACAAAGACCTTTTCTCCTCTCAAACCTCCCACTTTTCCTGTAATTTATGAGGTAGTTATACATGTTAGTGGTAGAGGCCAAGCAAGTTTCTTTGGTTGAAGAGCTGCATTTATAGCATCAGATTATAATTCTTTGCTATATGCCTGATTTTTTCAGATTGATTAAGCATACTCTGCGAATGTGCTTACAACATGAGAGCACTTAATACACACTTGTTTAAGTGTGTAATTTCCTAGATAGGCATGAAGTTAAGCACCTGCTTATGTTTTTTCTTGAGTAAGTGATGTTACTCTCAGTTACTGCCTACAATTATGAGAAGACACTTGAATGCTTGAAATATTTTTTACTATACGTGTGGTCACTGACTGAGAAAACAGACACAGTTAAATAAGTTCAAAGATCAAAAAAGATCTTTTGTCTTCCTATTTCCCGTTAAATTAATTAAAGCAGTGTTTGCATGAAGCATCTGGTATCAGTTAAACATTACAGTTTTGTTCAATACCTGGTTTGGTCATGTCAAGATCTTAAAGGTCTCACAGTGCTTTTTTCTGTACTATAATCATCTTTTCAGTTGTTACATTTGAAAATTCAGAAACCTTTTTGTTCTGTTAAATAACAAGTAATTGCAGAAAAAAATGGATTTTATCTTCATAATCTGTTCTGTTCAAATTATTCATGGTCACTTTCTTACAAGTTGTATAAGCTATGTTATGTTTGCATGTACTTTATACAAAATATAGGTGTATCTACACAGTTACATATGTGTGTTTATAAGAGATGCAAATGTGTGTGTGTGTATAAAAATGTCACTCTGTGTGTTTATATATACATAGCTAAATTGACATATTAACATGAATTGTCTTTTTTTTTCCTAAATATAAATTAGGACTTCTTCTGTGAGTTTAGTGAGCAATCACCATGTGTTCTTTCAAGATCCCTGTTACAGGCAAGTCCTAATCTATGTCTTTGAATACAATACTTTTGCATTCATTATTAATATGGATTTTCTGGTGATGTTTAAGTATTAGGTATTATGGAAGGAATCCTTTGTTGTGAGGATGATGAAGAGTTGGAACAGGTTGTCTAAAGAAGTTGTGGATGCCCCATCAAGTGTTCAGGGCCAGGAAGGTGTCCCTGCCCATGGCAGAGGAGTTGGAACTAGGTGATATTTAAGGTCCCTTCCAATGCAAAGCATTCTCTTATTGTATACATGGAGGCTTATGATCTGATCTAATATTTTAAAACATTTTTAAATACTGTTGCTCAGATCATTTTAACACATGCTAATTTAAAACAGAAATTGTTAAAATTTTTCACTGCCATAATGCTGTGCCTGTACACACATTTTTATGCTGTTCTCCATATGCTGTCTTAGTTTGGGGCTAGTGTTTGTATTCATCACCATTTGGACAGAATTTAATGTATAGATGGCCTCTATTGCTACAACAGTAAACCTGATGGCTAGTGCAGAACTTCTCACTGCTTTACTTACCTTAAAAGTGCATTCCTCAGTTCTGAATAAATAGTTCCTTATAGGAGGTTTTGATTATAGTAGGGTGTCCCTTGATGTCAGAACTTCTTTACATTTGATCCCTGTTAAGCCATGTATAGAGCCAGTGGAATATAACTATTGGCAAGTAGAATGTGTTCATAGTGTGTGTGTTCTGCCTTTCTGCCACGTGAGTTTGTGTGGTCCTTGTGGGTGCAGAGATTTATCTCCAACTGCTGAAGAACCATGTAAGAAAGGGGCACAGCGCTTGTGGAGGGAAGACAAATAAGGATCAGACATGACCAATGAAAGCAGTAGTATCCATTGGGGTAGAAAAAAGTCTGCAGTAGTCTGTAGGTTTATTTTTATCTGCCTCCAGAGAAGGCACATAATCTATTTCATGCCAATCTTCAGAAATATCTGTCTGATTTATCATCTTCAAAGTGGAAGAAATAAAATAATTTTGCATGCATTGTCTTATGCAAGTAGCAGAGCTACTTTTTGTCCTGGGAATACCATAAAAGTGTCAGATCTCAATATGCCTCTATTTCTGAGTCTGTAGCCTTGGACCTAGTTGAACCATTTCAATTCTAAAAGGAATCTTACAAGTTTCTTGTATATAATATATACTGTAAGAGCTTTCTATTAATAATTCCTAGTGCATTACTTTTGACTTAAAATACATTCCTAAAAACACATTTTTACTTTCAGACAACCTTCCTGGTAGATAATAAGAAGGTGTTTGGCACTCACCTCATGCAAGACATGGTGAAAGATGCTTTAAGGTCTTTTGTCAGTCCTCCAGTCCTTTCTCCAAAGTAAGTGGATCTTGAGTTTACGCATTTGTTTACATCTCTGTTGAAAAAATATTTCTGCTTACAAGAGCAAGGACAAATGCACAAAAAAATATTAATTTTGTATTTAGTGATTATGTATGAAGGAGTCAGTTGCTGTTGCTGCAACTGTTGCTGTTCCTTTTTTAATTTTGTACTACTTAGACTGGTGACATTTATAAAAGTATGTATGTACATGGATATTTCTCTTTTAGATGTTGTCTTTATAATAATCACCAGGCGAAGGACTACATTGATTCCTTTGTGACACATTGTGTTCGGGTAAGTGATCATTCCAGTTACATCATGTTTATGTGTATATGAACACCTTGAAGATTTGCATACATTTGAACATGAGACCAATTAATTTAGACACCCGACGTGATGGCAAAATTGCAGAAGTTGACCATTTTAAAATGGTAACACTTTTTAAAAAGCCAGTCTAATTATCGATGCTTTTTTCCTGGGTTCTTCTTCTAGATTTTTATTTAACATTTTACTTTGTTAAAAATCTGCACCTTCTACCTCTTTACAAGGTAGTTTCATGTAACAAAACAAATGCATAGCATGTGTAAAAACAAAGTTATTTTTACCTTCTCTCAAATTTAATTTTTTTAAAAAATTGTTTTAAAAGATTCAGTTGTTGAATATGGCACGGTAAAAATCTCAAGAAAATCACAGAATTATTTAGGTTGGAAAAGACCTCTTAAGATCATCGAGTCTAACCCAGCACTGCCAAGTCCACCACTAAACCATGTCACTAAGTGCCATTGACCACCTAGGTGCATGGATTTAGGCATAAGAAATATCTCATTTACACCAGGCATTTTGTTCTGATCACATTCCTAAAGGATGCTCACTCAATCTCACGTTGACTTGTGTACAGAGATATGGGTTCTTGCATCCCTCCAGAGACCTTGCTTTCCTGCTGCTTGCGCTCTGTAGAGAGCGTTAAGTAATACACCTCCTGATACAGATATATAGAGCAGGTGTCTAAATAGACATCATAGTACTACTCCTTTACTTTCAAAGTTGTGTTGATAATTTAAAATGATGCTTTGCTTCTTTCAGCCATTCTGTAGTTTGATTCAAATCCATGGACACAATAGAGCTCGTCAGAGAGATAAACTGGGTCACATTCTTGAGGAATTTGCCACCCTACAGGATGAGGTAATGTCCTAGGCAGCAGGCCAGCAAAGTTTCTTTCCAGATATATTCCTGCTGGAGTGAAGCATGTGGTATTAGATCCTAGCTGCATGAAGCAAGTCCTCTGTTTGTCCTAAAATCTTTAGGACAAGGATTCCTAAAATTTAGCCCAAGAAATCAGTAGGATTTCTGTTAGATCTGTTAACAAAAACATTACATTTTTTGAGATTAACTTTGTCCAGTACGTAGACTTCAAGGAAACCTGTTGTGATGTAATCTGATGGTAACTCCACTGCTTTTAGTCTCTATCCTGCTTGTGACTGTCAGTCTGGAAGATATAACCAGGGGGAGATAGACAAGCCATGCTGACAATATACCTTTGAAAATTTAGCCTTATAGCTATGTCAGATGTAAACTGCAAAAGTAAAAAATAACCCTTCAAAATACGTGCTCTGACTGATTTTGAACATTTCTGAAGAATGAGAAGGGAATCATGAGTTAAAAATATATTTTCACTTGCTGGAAATCTTTTTCCAGCAGCAAGAGTCATAAAATAATAAAATATTTCCCAAGATATGCACAGTAAGAACAAGTGAGGACCTTGTAGGTGGGGATGAAATTTTCTGTGCTCCAGCTTTTCTCAAGATAGTTTGATTGAGTTTGTTACAGTACTGCAGCTGAGACACTGGTTTTTCATTTTGTAGACAGTTACATGAATTGTTCTGTTCAGGACTACTGTTAATCTTCCAACTGTGGGAGACTTCATGTCTTCCATACAATTCTTAAGACAAAATTGGTCTTAGCAATATTTTAGTTAATCTGATGGGACACATCGTGTTTCTTGCATGTTAAGCTTACAAATAAATTTAATGTTTCAATGCAGCTAGGCTAAAAAAAAAGAGAGAAGTAATTATTGCCAATATAGAAAAATAAACAACAGTGTGTAATGGGTTCAGTGCTCACGTGACTGCTAATGATCTAGATACCAATACTTTAAAAATTTGAAATTTAAAATACCTAATGTTCTTGCTACACTACTACTTGAATATTGTTATTCTGTGCAGCAGAATTTAATTATGTGAATATCTTTCCAGTTTTCTGACAGTTCTAGACTATAGATGTGGCAGTATCTGTAAGGGCATATTTCAGTCTTGTAATCTGGAGCATGACTTTACTGACCCAAGTTGTATTCAGATTTTGTTAGGATTTTATTTCTGGCAGAACCTGGATATTGTTTCAGTCAAATGTTCTTCCTCCCCGTCTGTTACCTTGCTGTCTTTTTATTGATAGGCAGAGAAAGTAGATGCAGCGCTTCATAGTATGTTACTGAAGCAGGAACCACAAAGACAACATTTGGCTTGCTTGGGCACCTGGGTCCTATATCATAACCTTCGTATTATGATACAGTATCTTCTCAGTGGCTTTGAGTTGGAACTTTACAGTATGCATGAATATTACTACATATATTGGTAAGAAGATTCTTTATTGGCAGCTGTTCAAGGAGGGATGCTCCCACAGAGCTATAATTGCAAATATTTGACGGAGGGACTCCAAATATGATTTTGTAATCTCAAGGTTGCTCAACACTGTTTGGTCTATCTATTTATAATATTACAGAAGGAGAAAAAAATGTTGTTAGTCTCTTTTCTAGGCTTACTAAGTAGTGTATTTTTTTTCCTGAAATAGTAATTGACTCTCTCTTTAGCTTTTTAAAACAGTGTCTTGTGTAGACAATGAATGAAAAATATGTTGACTTTTGGCAGACAAGAGCATGCAGGAGAAAAGCGATTTCTTTTATTCTTTTATGTTGTTATAGTACCAAGATCACTAGTCTTGTTGATCTCTAGTATTTTTGAAAAGGTCTCCAGTTTTAAGTTATGACTGTAATTTGAAAATTGACTAGTTAGTTAACATCTTATTCTGTAAATATATTTGAAGAGACATCTGCCTTTAGTGAAAATGATTGCACTACATGGAGACAAAATACTTTTTACTTTTCCACTTTCATTCACATTAATTATTTGTCATAGTTGATTGCTTGGTCCAAAAGATAAATTATTTTCAGATGGTTCATTTTTGAATTAGCATTAAAAATCTGATGATGAACCTTCCTCTGCTGAAGTGTTTCTATACTTTGGTAGTTTGTTTTTTGCTCTAATTTGTTTGAGTTTCTTTTTTTTTTTTTCTGTAAAGCTACCGAAAGAATCCTTTGTAAGCTGCAAGCCTTCTTATCGAGAGATTAAAATAGTTGAAATTACATAAACTTCAGTGCATTTCATTATGTTTCTATGTTGTTTCAGTAGTGGATTAAGTATTAAATGAGAACATTAATACTAGTTACCAGAAGATGGCAATATTCTTTAGGTAATACCTCAATAAGTAATGCCAAATTTTTTGTGAGACAATATTTGTTATACCTGCCTGTATTTCCCTTACCATTTTAATAAAATCCCTTTTCATTGGAATTATCATGTCAGCTGCTTTATCTCTTTAATGTAAGTGAAGAACAAAAAGTAGAAGAAATTTCAGAGGGGAAATGTGCAAATGAAACTCAAATTTCTCAGTAATTTTTCTTCTGAATTGTGACTTCTTATGAACTATTACTTATTTTTCATTGTGCTCCAAATCTGTATTTTTTTCTACTCTCTTTTCCCCCCCTTATTCCTTTTGAAGTCAATCAAGATATTTATTGAATCAGCTTCCACTATTGCTCTTAAAGATGTATCTTAAATCTGAAAGAATTGCATGTGGATGTTGTGTTTCTGTGGGCTTTGCCTCTTTATGTAATAATTCATGGCTTTTTAATGCCTGAAAAAAAATCAGTAATAATCTTGTCTCTCGAAATAATGCATAACAAAAGTAGAAAAGGTATTAACATAGTATTTTTTTAAAAAATACTTCATTTGCTGGGAGAAGGAAGAGTTCTAGAAAAATTTGATCTTAAATAGGTTTTGAAATAATAAGAAGCTTAGACTTAGTAAATATGTAAGAAACTTGTATACTTTGAGCTGTCTGTGGTAGAATGTGTACAAAGTCTTGTTTAAAACAGAAAAAAACACAAACCAGAATAGGAAGGTAGGCTGATCTGTTGATTTCAGCCATAGAAAACAAAGAGTTTTAATTGCCCGTGAAACCTGTCCTTTACTAGGACAGGTGCTTTACATCTTGGAGCAAATGACTTGGCATTGAGCAGGTGTATGTGCATTTGAGTACATTCTGCACTGCAATATGTAACACTCCATACCATTTTCGCTCTAGGTACCTGTCAGAGTTCCTCTATGCCTGGTTGATGTCAACACTGAGCCGCGCTGACAGTGCTCAAATGACAGAGGAAAGAATAATGGAGGAGCAACAGAAAGGACGTAGTAGTAAGAAAACAAAGAAAAAGAAGAAAGGTACTTAGGTCTAGAGTGTAACTCGAGACTTTTTTTTTTCCCCTTTTATGCAGCCATGTAGAATTAAAAATTTACAGATTCAGCACTGATATGAGTAGAAAAAATGTCCTAAAGTTTAAAGGCTGAATGTAAAACTTTTTTAGTTAAGAAGTCAGTTGTTGCATAAGAATTTCCTATTTGTTTTCTTTTAAATAAGTGTTTCAGGAAAACCCAACTCACTCATATTTACAGCTTCATCAGTTGTGTTAATGTGATGGATCGTGTGAAATGTAATTAACAGTTCCAGAGCTATTATCTTTGAAAAATACTTCCTTTCTATCTTCTATAATTCCTGCAGTATTGTGCTTTTTTTGACTGTAGCTAGATTCAAACACTAAATTTTCAGTGTATTTCTGTTATTTCTATTTGACTTCAGAAGGTCCTAAAGCATGTTTCTTAATTTTACAGCAGTGAGTTGCCCATTCTTTTCCTTGCTTTCTTTCCAAGGGGAGCAAACAATGGGATATGAACAGCTCAGGATCATATCCACTGAATTCCCTTGTCTCTAGAAATGCAGAAAATTACTACTGTACTTTATTAAGTTAGGTGCCAAATGTTGGGCAGTTTGGCAGTAGTTAAGCACTGGAAGCAAAAAGGAAACCTACGAGAACATTATCAGGATAAATTTTTTCTTATTAGGATAAAAATATGCTTTAACCTTTTAGTCTTTAGAAATCAAAAGAAATCAATGAACTAAGCAAACAGGCCTCTCAGCTAGAGACTGTAAGTTCGAGGCTGTTTGATGTTGTATAGTGTCATACAAAAACCATTGACCAATTTATTTCATTGACAGTAGTATGGTGTTCATGTTAAGTATATCTTGAAGTATTTTGTGTAATTAGGAGCCAGGTGAGCAAAAATGCATGTCCATGCTTTGGATGCTTCAGTTATTTTAAAATATAGTTGAGAGTTTTGCCACTTTCTGGAGACTTGGAAAAACTGTTTTGATCTGAAATTAATATATTGAACTAAACTGAACTAAAATTGAACTAAACTTTTTATGTGAAATTTGCAGTTCGTCCTCTCAGCAGGGAGATCACCATGAGTCAGGCATACCAAAATATGTGCGCTGGGATGTACAAGGTAACTTATATTCTGTTTGTTCCAATTTTTTTGTAACAGGGATCATGTATGCATTGCATGCCTTTGTTTTTAGTGGGCCTGGAAATTAGGTTCAGGTTTATAATTTGATATGGTAAATTCTCCACTGTTTTTTTGTCCTTCCAGTTATAGCTAAATCATAACTTTGATCTTGCTCGCAGCAAAATATGACATAAAGCTAACCCTTCTTACTGTATTTATCCTTTTCTTCTAGACAATGATCGCATTTGATATGGATGGCAAAGTAAGAAAACCTAAGTTTGAACTGGATAGTGAACAAGTTCGATATGAGCACAGGTTTGCTCCATTCAACAGTGTTATAACGCCACCCCCAGTGCACTACCTGCAATTTAAAGTGAGTAATCTTAAAACGTGGTGCTGTCCATGCTTTTATAGAAGTCATTTACTCACCCGCTTTAGACATTGTTGTCATTGTAAAAAGAGCTTTAATGTCTTAAAGTTCATACTAAAGCTAAGTCCAAATGGCAAGGAGTTCTAGCTTGGTTATGTGCAAGGAAGATACATTGCTTTGAATTTTTACTAAACTTGGATGCTTAGATTTTTTAAAATTGGTCTGATGTGGCAGTCTGAGATGCTGGTGTTGGTTTGCATGAAAATAAATTCTCTTGGAAGTCCACTGACAGACTTTTTGGCTGTGGTTAATTATAGCAGCATGTTTTTATTAGTGCAGCAAGCAAATGGAAAAACTGAAAGTAATATTGAGTGTTGGAAGGGACCAGTGGAGGCTTGTTTTGTCCAGTCTCCTCCCTGAAGTGGCATAATAGATCACATTAGCTCTATCTTTGTCTGAAAAAATCAAAGGTTGGAGATTTTCTAACTTTTTTGATTAACCTGATGCAGTTACTTTTTCTGTTCCATTAAGTCTTTGGATAACCTGATTGAGGGCTGTACTATTCTCCTTTTTTCCTAATGTCCAGTCTGAATTACTCAAACCACAAACTGTGGCCTCTCATGTTATATTGTCTACCATTATTAACAAGGAACCTTTGCCTTCTGGCAACTTTATAACTGTCTTTCAGGTAGTTGTAGGCTGCAATTAAGATGACCCATTAGCATCCTTTTTTCCTAACTGAGAAAGTCCAGGTCCATTGATCTCTCCTTGTGGCTCATATGCTGTAATCCCCCAGCCACCTCCATATCTCAATGTCTTTCTTAAACAGAGTGGATCCAACCCCAGATGCAGCATTTCAAATATGACGACACAAATATGGAGTATAGGATGATAACCTTCCTTGATCTGCTGGCCATACTCCTGCTTGTTTATTCCTATACAAGGCTTGTATAAGAACACCTTGTTGGCTTGTATTCAAGTTGGTGTTTGCAATAACCCTGCTGCTCACCCACCTGGTTAATAGCCTCTATTATTTGGGGGGTTAGTCTGAACTGAAACAGTGCTATTTTGTATGCCAGTCACTCTTCCCAGTTTAATGTTATGAACAGCTGTAGTGGAAATTAAGACTATCATGACTTCCTCCTTGTCACTGAAGTTTGGTGGGGGTTTTTTATCCCTAGTCAAAAAACCAAAAAGTTTAAAGAATTAAAACTATATAAAATGAAGTTTTGAACAGCTTCAGCACTTTGCTTGTGGTAACCTTGATTTGAGTAAACAATATAATATACTTTTTTTTTCTCCTATTTTTTTCCCGTAATTTCATACCCTGCTGCATGGCACTATTAAAGCAAATGAATGACGAGTTGTTGAAGAGAAGTATTTTTTTATAAATAATATAAGAACTTCATTGCATTTTGTAGCACTAGAAAGTAGTCATTGAGCACTGCATTGCTGCTTGGGTTCTGCCATTTCATATAAATGTTTTTAACTTCAGTTTTTATTCTTAAAATAGTATTTAGTTGACGTAAGTTTTCTTGAATATAGTAATTTGCTTTCATTTCAGGTGATGAAAATAAAATTTTCTGGCAACTGATTTTAATATATATTTATATATTTCTATAACACACTAGGAAATGTCTGATTTAAATAAGTATAGCCCACCTCCCCAGTCATCAGATCTCTACATGGCAGCTAGCAAACACTACCAGCAAGCTAAAATGATTCTTGAGAATATTCCGAATCCAGACAATGAGGTAAGACTGAAATACTGAGAAAAGGAGCATTTGCTCAAACTAGTGTTTGTTTTCAGCTCAATCTGCTTGAGATCCAAAATGTACTTCATCAGAATGCTGAACAAAGCTGAGTGCTTTGATTAGAGAGTGGACAGAGAAGAATGGTGGCATCTTGCACAGTGATCCGTTTCTGTACATCAGACAACATAATCAAGGTTGTTGTGCCCACTGCTCCCAAAGCTCTCTTTGCTGAGGATCTTAGATGCTGGATAGCAACATATTTCCTTCTTCCATATTGACTTCTGACCCCTTTCTAATAGCTGTTTTAACTGATACATGCCAACCCCACTTATCTGGAATCTACTAATTCAGATAGACTATTGAAAGGTGGGAAAAATAGGTTTGAATATCATCAGGATGAAAAGAGCATTGAGTCTCACATGTGTTCCCTGGAGCAGTGTTCTCAGCACTGAGCTGTAAATATGGATAAGAATTTTTCCATCTTTGTCCATAGCCTAAAAGCTTAAGTGTCTATGACTGTATTTTGGAGGAAGGAGGATGCTTTTTCTGTCACATCTGAGCAGGTTAAGAATAGTTACAGGATTAGGTCCTCCTGAGCATTTAGGAATCAATTCCCGTTCTCTGGATCCTGATGGTATTCACACATAAGCTGTCTACTTGTGGCTAACCAAGATAGTTCAGAGGTAGTTTTGAGGATGTCGAGAGCACTTCCATGCAAAAAGCCACCAGTTTCATACTTGAGTTTACCATTCTCAGGGTGCTGAATGTTGAAGATAGATGCCTAGAGTCTATCTATACCTTATTTGTGAGAGTGCTACAAAACCTGCCATAGTTGCAATTTTTATGTTCCAGAATTTTTAAAGCAGTGGTTTCTATGATTTGTTAAATTTAATAAAAAGTGACTGAAAATAAATGCACCTTTCATTAAATTTAATTATTCCGGTTCTTCGCTTATTCCAGCAAATCCAAAACACTGTGATATCTGTTCAGTTGGTCTTGTAAGAGAAATGCTGTAGTGTTGGAGTATATAAACATTAGAGTATTATCTTTGAAATAGTTTGAAATTGGTCATATGCTTTCAGTTGAAGACTTCTTGCTGTTTTGTGTTTAGGTCAGTCGAATTCTAAAAGTTGCAAAACCCAATATTGTGGTCATGAAGCTGCTGGCAGGGGGCCACAAGAAAGACTCTAAGGTAAGGAAATGCCAGCTGAAATGAATCTAAAATATAGTATTATATACATTAAGGTTGAACTCAATGATCTTTTCCAACCTGAATGATCCTGTGATTCTATGCGAAGCCACCACAGGTCTCTTGGGAGCCAAATGAACAGATTCAAGCCATAGTTACTCTAACTGTTAAAAGAACAGGGAAAAGAAACTTAATTCATTTTCCCCTTGGAAATAGTTTGTTGTAGTTATTTAAATATGGAAAACTCGCATCTCTAAATGTTTTGAGGAAAAAAAATTGGGAAAAGCATGTGGGACAATACAGAAAAATATGGATATTCTTCAAGAGCAGGAACAAGTACACGTGTATCAGCAGCTTGTGTGAACAAAATCGTGAGAGTGCTGGCTGTCAGGATTAGTGAGTGCCACTGCATGGGTCAAGGCACAGAAGGATGAAGGAACACACCTAAGAGGCACACCAGCATTCTAAAACTTTGTGGCCATCACTGCTGAATAATGATTGACATATCCAGAAATGGGTTGGAGTATTTTTCAGATAATAATTTAAAGAGCTAGGACTATTTGTTTTTCAGTCTTCTGCTGTTAAGAGTTTTTTTTTTTTCCTGTCTGCAGGGTATTTTCATTATGAGTATCAAATGCAGTAGTACTGCTGTGTAATGTTTAAATCTTTTCTTTCTAGGTTCCTCCAGAATTTGATTTCTCTCCTCATAAATACTTCCCAGTTGTGAAGCTTGTTTGAAGGACAAGAAATTATTGTTAGGATACCTGAAGATACCTGTGTAGCAGATACCAGCTGTAAGAGGGAATATCTAGGCTTACACTCAGACTGCAAGGGACCTCCAGGATACAAGTACTGTTACGTGGAATATGTGTAGTCTGCTGCCTTCATCTGATCTGACAACTGCTGTTTGAAAGTGGTTTGTATAAAGTTTAATGCATTTTATGTGTGAAGCTGATTTTAATCAACTGTATTGTTGAAGAATGCCATACCTTAATTGATTTTATTACAGAGTTAATCATAATTTTTATTAATGTGATCTGAGAGAAAATGGTGGCTTAGGGACTGAATAAAAATCGTGCAAAATTCTCCATTCAGCAAAGTCACTTAGAGAGATTGTGAGTTTCCATATTTTTGTTTAAATTGTATCAAAATTGCTCACTTTGCAAGTAGAGAGAATGGTTTTATACTAAAACAATCTTTACAGAAATCAAGGGCAGATGAAAACTAGGCATTTAGCTCCTACTGCACTGAATTCAGTGATTTTTGTTTTGTTTTGTTTTACCAAAGTCAGTTTTCTCAGAGGTGTTTTGTCTGAAATGTAGAAGAAGCCTTTGAAGACAGTGAGAAACGGAGTGATTCCTAGTTGGAGTTTGTTCCTTTGTCTATATTCTCACGGTACTGGAGAATCTGCCCAGCAAACACTGCCATAGTCACTAGCAGTAGCACCAGACATTGAGGGGTATTTTTACTCTGCAACTTTGTTTTAATCATGCTACTTGCCTTGGAAAGGAGGGATTGCTGCTTTGTTACATCCCTCAGTTCTTAAATTACCTTTTTTCCCCACTTTGACTCAAGTGGGGCTGCTAGATCCTACTGTGTTCTGTAGTGATAGACAGAGATAGATATCCAAAACAGGAGAGGCCCCAAACCTCCCCTTTCCTTCCTAGAATAGTTCTGCCTCCTGTGCTTTCAGAAATAACAGAGGTAAGCTGTTGTGCTGAGCAACCTCCTACTACAAGAGGGGAAAAAATGTTCAAAAAGGTGACTTGTTCTTTGATAAACCCCCTACTAAAGGCCAAACCATACTTAGGCTATATAAGCAAATCCTTTGTTGGACAGGACAATTCTTATTTTGGTGTAAAATTACTTCCTCTGTAGGGCTGAGCTTTTAATTCCTTCTTGACCATGCAAGACCCTTTTCTGTGTTTGCTCTATCACCTAATTTTACTGTAGAGTAATATCACTGCAGCTGCATATCCTGAGCAGCAGCACTGCTGAGGCAGAGCTTGAAAAGAATGAGGAACCTCTGAAGTGGAACACCCACTTCTCTGCCAGCAATTTGCAGCTTCTTGAAATAAGCAGTACTGCCCTGAAGACATGATTTTCCCAATTTCTCTGCTAAGGAGACTGCATATCACATTACTTGTTTGCTTATCATCATGGTTAATATACCTGAATGCTTCTGTGTAGCTGACAAAGGAATACAAAGCCTAAAATATGTAGATGTAAAATAGCACTGAGAATTCATCTGGCCATCACAAAAATTTTTCTTGTCGTTAAAATCTTGAACTACATGACAGTAGCTCAAGGACAGCTTTTGATATTTCTCCAAAGCAAGCAGCCAGTAAAGGAGAACTACATCACGTATGGAACTAAGAAAAGAGTAACAATCATCTTTCCCATTTTCACTAAAATTAGAAGTGGATGAACTGAACAGAATAAGGCAAATACTCACTAGACAAGATTATTTTGATTTTAAAATGCGTACTTAAAAGGGCTCAGGCTTAGTTAAGAAAAAAAAAATCAAGGATGTGTTAATTTAATGCCAAGATGATCACAGAAAAGAAGTAATATCACCCTAGTTATATTCCTGTAGCACTTGAAACCATTGCAAATAAAATTGTAGTCCTTCATGCTTCTGAACATTGCTTTTATGCAGGTGTTCAGAGGTTTACAAGTGTGCCTTGTACAAGGATGGTCTTGTTTATGGAGGACAGTGTCCAGGTGGCTCAGAGAAACCCAAAGATGTACAGAAATACAGCCAAAACAGTTTTAAAAAAGAACTCTCTGGCAATATACTAATTATTGGGATTCTTAACTTGATAATGGTAAAGCTGTTAATTCAACTTGAATACAGCATTTCACTGTGTATTTTATACTCGTAGAACATATGCTCTTTAGCAATCAATATTAAATTCCTGATCAACTTAATCTGAGAGGCATAACTGTTTACAGATAAAGTCCTATGAAAATGCTGAGAAGATGGGTAAATAATTTTACCATCCAGAATATGGGTAAACATTTTGATGTTAAAACATGCCATTATTTGCAAAAAAAAAAAAAAAAAAAGCCAATAATCCAAGTTTCCCAATACCAGAACAGATGTTCATACCTCTTCTCTTCTGCTTACAAGCATTTGCTTTTCCCTGCTGTGTTGACTGTAGTGGCCTAGACCTGTCTGACTTAGATGGTGAAAAACTATTAGTAAAAGTGTTTCTGTGTTTGGGGTTAATAGGCAGCATTTGACTTAAGCTCTGACCTTCACTTGATGAGAACTAACACTTTTTTCATACACTAAAAAGCCAACCTTCCACTTGCATATTTAGGTATCTTAAGGTTCAGGAGTTGTAAAGTAGTACACTGAGGAGTGACACATCACAAAAGGAGTTAGTTACAAAATTAAAGGGAAAGTAAAGACAAATTTATATTTTCTTAAAATGGAATTGCTCGTTGGCAAGTTAGGCACAGCTGTCTGCTGTCTAAACAGAGGTTGGTTCATACTCACAAAGATTGCTCTAAACACAGATATCAGTCTTGGGAACAGACACAAATACAAAATTCTGCAAAACAGCTGGCTACAGACATGAAGGTTGGACTGCAATAAAGGGTGCCCTAGTGGTAAGTAGAGGATATTTCTAGGTTACTGCAAGTAAACTAGTTTCTAGTTTGCACTGAACAAGTTACAGAAAAGACAAGACTACAGAAAATTAACAAGATGATAGATTGTGATAAACACAGGACTGTACGACTACCGCTTCACCTGTAGGAGTCACTGCCATATCTTCTAAATGCTTAGTCTGGTTTACCTCCTTCAAAAGTCCAGCAGAGAGGAATATTCACATTGAACAGCTGAGATGATTGCTGTTCTACAAAGCAAGTGTTTGCCTTCCTACATTTTAGCGGAAGATAGTGGTCGGGTGGACTAAAGGGTAGCACACCATTTCAGAGGGCTTCTGTCACAAAAAGTTTGTGAGTTTGAATTTTTATGCTAAACTTATGCAGGTTAGTGGTAACTGAATCATACTGTATTACTGAACTTGTGAACAAGAGTCCAACAAAGCTTTCAGAAAAATCTTCCTGCCTAATCTCTTAAAAAGAAGGCACTATTATCAGAATTGTTTTGATTATTTTTTTTTTAACCTTGAAGCTAAGAACTCACCTAGACAGTGTAAACTAGAAACTTATTTCAGAAGGCCCAGGTGAAATATATCATTCTGTTTTCTGAGTATATTTATGTTGCAGTAAAAAAGTGCCAGAATAGGCACAAGGGTAGATTGCAGCATGGACTGTTTTTCATCCTTCCCATGTTCAGTGGCTTAGCTCCTCTTGAGTTCTTAAAACTAGGCTGGGTATTTCTCTGTTGTGCATTGCTCAGGGGAGAGATCCATCCTTGGCAGAGGACTGTTGCTCATGTACCAACAATCCACATATACCATTACTGTAGTATGACTATAGCCAACTTCAAAGTTACTACATTTATTGCTTGCTGATTTCAGTTTTATAATCAGTAGGAAGGAGAGAGTCAGTGCAGACGTCAACTGCTTTAACAAGCCTCCAGAAATTTCAGATTGCTTTTTCCCCACTGAAACAGTACCAAAACTTCACAGGAAGATACTACTTCATTTGGGCCGTTATTCAAGCCTCGAGAAGGTAATCAAAACATTCTCAGATCACTTTGCTCTCATCATTGCTGCATACAGATGAAGAGGTGACTAAGTTGCATCATGAACCTCCTTTGTTCACAACTGTCCTCCTTCACCGTGGTCAGTTAAGTGGTTCTTCATATCTTCAGGGTTTTGAACTAATGAGGATAAAAAAGGTAAAGAAATCTCTTAAACAGGCAGAAGTGATAGTTTTTCATAAAAAAAGTTCTTCTATGTAGAAAAACTACAGGAGAAATTTTGTAAAGACTATTAAATACTGTATAGTAAAGTTACAGATACCACACCCTCATGCCCCCCATTAAAGAGTAGCTTCAGTGACGCTATACAGAAAATAAATCACACTATCAACATGAGGGAAAGCTCAAAGAGAAAACAGAAATTAGCTCGGTATATCTTACTACAGAATACCATGCAAAATACCATCTTAAAATTTTCAGCACATGGTATTTGGCTTTAAATGTTTTTTTTTTCCTTTTTTACCATTTTCAATCCCTGCAAGTGCTGCTTGCTTGTCTGTTTCTGATTCAGCTTCATTCTCATCTAAATTGTAATCAGCATCCTTGTCCTGGTTCATTGCTTCATGTTCCTGTTTTTCTGAAAAGATTTAAAATTAAGTAGGTTTATGCTATACCATAGGGTCATTGCACAGAGAAACAGTGACTGTAATCATCTTCCATATAATTTACTTTGCTGCTGAATGAATTGCTGTTCAGAGTAGGTTTTCATATTATTTTTCATTTTGAATGTTAAATTTCAGAGCAACTTTTGCTGTTAATCTTGTCTAAAGAACCAGATAAAAGCCAGAATCTTTTGGGATTTGGAAAGCGCGATAAAATTCAGCCAACACTCAGATGGACAGAAAGAAAAAGCATTGAACAATTTCAGAATACATTAAGGGACATCCTAAGGAAGAGCAAAAGCTGAAGCCAATGCTGAAAACTTGACTGTGATATTGCTTTTAAATGTATTGCCACTACCACCAAAACGTCTCAGCTTCTGCCCTTCTTGTTTTAGTTTGTCCCGCAAGGGAAAAGCTGTGAATATAGCATAAAAAAGAGTAGTTTGATGTGCTAACCTGACACAAAAGTACTTTCCTAGAAGAGATTTTCTTCACTCAGTCATTAACTCATCTCAAGCAACTTTTATTGACTATCTTAAGATTTCTTTAGATAGAGAGCTCAAAAGTAAATGGAAACATTATTTCTGACTGCCAAATTACTGTCCTTATTTTTCAAATAATCAGCCAGAAAAAAACATAACAGCAGAGAGGTATAAGCATATCCCACAAGAGGTATAAACATACTCCACTCAAGATAGATTAGAGCTTCTGGTTCAAAATATTCTTAAAGCCAAGCCCTCCAGTTAGTAAGTGGCTTAGAAACAGGCTTGAAAATTTAAGCTTTAAGCCTTATGTTGTCCATATTCAGACCACCACATCAAATAGATTTTTATAGTTACAGACCTAAAGCTGTCTAACTTTCAGAAGCAGCTCTTCCTGAAAGACAGAGAATGCACAGAGAATACTGAAGAAGTATTTCTACCTTAGTGCTCCTTTGGCTACAAGGAACCTGTGCAGTAATTATGGTATTTTTGTTGAACAATCAGCCTGAAGAACATACCGCTAGTCTTTTTTGCTCACAGAAATGCAGACTTTTCACAGGCTGCATGGCAGAGCTTTTCTTTGCTCTAATTGTTGGATGATTTTTTTAACCTAATCTTTTTGCTATTTATTTCTGTTAAAATGGCAGCATTTTAGGTAACTTTTAATTACATCTCTTTGGGGTGCAGCCTGCTCTGGCCAGCATCTTTTTGGAGCAGTTGGAAAAATACTAGTTTATCAATGCTGTTAGTTTTTTGGGGATTATTTATCCCCTCCAAGTTAGCAACAATGTTAACACTCAGACAACTCTTAACTCATGATTCTGAGAATGTCTTTACTAGAAAACCATACACAGCATTTTTTGTGGGCATCAATTCCTGCTCTGACTGCCATAAGGTTTTGTCTTTTGATTACTCTGGGCTAATGAGTCCACCTGAGACCAAATCCCTCTAGAAATAGACAGAGGGATGTCTAGATACTGGTCAGGTTTAGATACATCAATACTCTGCTGCTCCATGCCATGGAGATGTGATTCAAGGCCACATGGTAGATGCCAGAAACCGGCACCTGTACAACATCTGATCCATGTTTTTGCAGACTCACAGTAATAAACTTCAGATATCTGAAGTCGTAAGAGTTTTAGTCGTATCTTATTTTTAAATACTGATAGCTAGTCTTTTTACAGTGTCAATGGTAATGCTAACTGCAAAACATCCATGCATAAGTAACTCTCTACTCATCCATCAGTGCTTTGAAGGGTTAACATCTCATCCTTTTCAAATGCATCCTATTCTTAAAAAGCCCCAGTACCAAAACATTTTGGGGCTAATTTCCCCAAATGCCTTGTACAGCCTAATGGAGAGAAAGCCAGTAAGGCTGCTGTGGAACCCAGCCTGGTAGCTCCATGTTGCACAAACAGAAGCCTCCGTCTTTACCCATGGACTGCAGAAGACTGCTGGTGACTGACACCTTTCCCATATCACACCAACCTTTGTGAAAACTTGTACTCAAATCTGGACAGCTGCCACTGCTCTTGCAGAAATCATGCCCTATTCCACAGTTTCATTTCTTTACCTTTCTTAACAATACCGTTCTTAACATGCTACGAACCAGCCTTTCCCAGGGACAAGTCGTCCTGCTTAGCATCGTAGTTTAGGAGCTGTTCCCTCTCAACTTCCTCACTGGCAGCCTGCTCTGGTGCTGGCTGTAACACATCTTGCCCAGCTATGTGTTTTTCATTTCCAGATGGATTTGGCTCCTTCTCTGATTCAGGTAGCATCTCCTTGTGACCTGCAGCAGCCTTGAGGGGATCTTGTGGTTTTTTCAACTGACTAAAAAGCTGCTCCTCTTCTGCCTTAGGCTCCTGTTTTCTGATGTCAGCTGGGCCATCTATTCTTTCTGAAAACAATAAAAATTATTCTGAGTGAAAAAAATAATGCCTTTCAGTCATGGCACAAGTTAAAAACCTTTAATAAATAATGCTTTATATTTCTCATTCGATTCTTGTTTTTCCTCTGAAATAATATCTTTCAACCGCCTCAGTTCCAAAGATAAAAAGAAGATAATTCATGTTTTTCCTACTGGGAACAGCTAAAGGAGGAGACTTTGTTTACCATCATCAGATTCATGCTTCTACATCCTGTAAAATTTTGGGGTGTGTGGTTAATAACTCGGGCAAGTGAAATAAAGCAGTTTAAATAAAAATTGCGGTGTGCTATATAAACATCAGGTTTCTGTGTATTACATTTTGTTACAAACAATAAAATTGATTCTGTATTTAAAAGTAGCTCAGGACAAAGCAGTCACATAGGCAGCTTTGCAGGTAAACCACGGCTGTTCTTATTTTTAAATATGAAGAGGAAGTACAGGAGTGCTATCATTTTTGGCAGACATTAACTTATCTTTTTTCCCATGTATCTGCATTTGTAACTAAAAAAGATAAAATTTGCCCAAATAAACTATACGTAGATGTTGTCTTCAATTGCTAGCTCTCTAAAATGAGAGTTGCATGTGGACAAGATTGTAATTTAAGATAGCATATAAGAATAACTAAATAGGGAATCGAAATTCTATCACACTACTGTGCAAGATGGACACACAAGGTCCACTCAAATTAACAGTTTCTGAAATTTAGTACCAAAAGCAATCACTAAACCATTAGGTTAACTAACCAGATCGCCTCTGTATTATTGTCCTTACTTGCATTTTGCTCAGTGACAAGTGGGAAGCATGTATGTGTGTTTGTTTTAAGCCTAACTTTCAGCTATTCCTTAGGGAGGAGTAGCAGGCTGGATGTGTCAAACTTTCTGAGCAGGCAGATTTTAAGTGTGCTTGAAAATCATGCCTTCCAAAAGTGTAGGGTATTTTCTCCATATTAAATGAGAAATATGACTCCAGAATTGTAAATATTTGTATTTTCCTTCATATGCAACATGTCAATTACAACAAAACTGAACCAGTAGAAATGCCAGCAATAAAAATGCTTCAGTAGTGCTTCTCCAAGGCTGGAAAACTACCTAAAGTTCAGACTCTTGGTGTCACTTTTTTCCATCTTGATCTTGTGTACAAAAATGTTTTTAAATGTTCAATTAAATTACAACTGTTCTTAATCAGTTGTTAGTAAGACAGTGATTTCCATCTCACCTTTAGCCTTCATCAAGTCTGTCTGTCTTAGTGTAGGTACTGCTTTAGGTACATCTTCAGTGGGTTTCTGCTGTTCCAAGTCAATGTGCTTGAACTCAGTTTGCTTCAAGGCTGGCAGTTGAATATTGACCTATAAAGTGAATGCACACAAGATAAGCATTGGTCTATGTAACTGCTCCTGGATTTGGAAAGGGAAATGGAACAGAGGTAAGAATTCAGTAGGGGAGAAAAAAATTCCCAACACACTTGGAAATATTTGCACTGAAATTTTTTATTGGTGATGGAAGTACCACACAATTTTGAATATGCAGTAATGTTTCTATGTAACAGCATGACACATTAGGAGAATTTTAACAGACCTTCTTTAACTGTGGGTAAGAATGAGCTCACTGCTGTCGATTATTCTCTGAGCGTCACAGAACTGTAACACCCCACATTTATCCACTGTTACCCTGCTACTGCCTCAGGGTCAGCAGAGCAAAAAAACAGATGGCATTAACTACTATTAGTAATCTGTTGGGCGGGAAAACTGTGTTTGGACATAATAAGACTTCAGTTACGTAAGGCTTGTATGGGAACTGGTCCGTAACTATGCTGAATGCAGGATTAAGAAAAGAAAACATAAATTAGCAACTAGACAATAGTACCTGTTTAATGTGATAGAGCTTACTTAAGAATGTATTAAGTTCTGGCAGTAGACTGCTCAGCATCTGACCCACTTAAAGATTAAGGCTAACATATACATGATCTTGAAGATCTTCCAATTTAGCAATTAAAATTCCATGTACTGCTTTTACTCACATTGGCATTGGCCTTCCTCACATGGCCATGGTCTCCCTGTATGTCAGTGGTGGCCTGTTTGCATACCTGAGGCCCCCTTCCATCTCCTCCCCATCCCCTAGATCTCGTGTTTGACAGTCCTGTGCTTGGTGGTGTCTTCATCAGTGGATCCCCTTATCTACAGCATAGGGAACAGGGAGCTCGAGGATGCCATTAAGAAAGTGAGTCCCATATATGTTTTCACAGCAATAAGATTACCACCTCGCTCCATAAATGACTCCCAGATTATCTGAATTAAGTATTTTGGTAGGGGGCCGAGGGAGGGGAGTTTCTTTGTTTGTATTAAATTTGTTTGTTTCAATATCATTATAATTATCATTATTGCTTTGGTTGTTGTCACTAATGGTTATTAAATTTTTTATTAATTATTAAATTTTTGCATTTGCTTCGCTACATTTGAGTCATGCACCATCCTTCTGTCACCTCCTACCCTGATGCTCTGTTGTGTGTCTAACACTGGCTCAGAAGGATCTCTGTAATAAAACAGGATCTCCCCAGTGCATCACTTTCAGCCTGAGCTCTTCCTCCAAAGAGGCCTGAGAAACTGCAGCACTGAAATTTCGTTTCCTCCATGTGTTCAGGACTGAAAAGCTCAGACCTCTTGAGAAATACAGGATTTAACTAACAATTCACCATTAGTTCCTGGTGAAAATGAAAGATGAACTGAGGGATGTACCCAGGGCTTTGGAAACACCCATCCTCTATGAAGGGAACCTGGAGCTGCCTGTAGAGAATGGTGATTGTCCAGCTACAGCACAGCACATTTCTAGGGTTGAATGGAGGTTGAAGAGATTTAAAAAGATGGGGTGGCCATGGTACTCCTAATGCAACCCCATACACAGTTGACCTTGCACCACTGGCTCATGTGGCATCCCTTGTAGCACCCAGGCTCTCCCCTTCACAGTCACTGCTCAAGCAGTCAGGACCCCACCTGCGCTGACATACAGAGTTATTCTTCCCCCTAATGTCATCTCAGAAAACACCAAATGAGGGTGCAAAGCCAAGGCCAGTGGGGAAAATAGCGTGTATCAAAAATAGCGTGGCCAGCAGGAGCAGGGAAGTGATCCTTCCCCTGTACTCTGCGTTGGTGAGGCCACACCTTGAGTATTGTGTTCAGTTCTGGGCCCCTCAGTTCAGGAAGGATATTGAGGTGCTGGAGCGGGTCCAGAGAAGAGCAACAAGGCTGGTGAAGGGACTGGAGCATAAGTCCTATGGGGAGAGGCTGCGGGAGCTGGGGTTGTTTAGCCTGGAGAAGAGGAGGCTCAGAGGTGACCTCATCACCGTCTATAACTACCTGAAGGGAAGTTCTAGCCAGGTGGGGGTTGGTCTCTTCTCTCAGGCACTCAGCAACAGGACAAGGGGGCACGGGCTTAAGCTCCACCAGGGGAAATTTAAGTTGGATATCAGGAGAAAATTCTTTACAGAGAGAGTAATCAGGCATTGGAATGGGCTGCCCAGAGAGGTGGTGGATTAACCATCCCTGGAGATTTTTAAACGCAGATTGGACGTGGCACTGAGTGCCATGATCTAGTAAATGGACTGGATTTGGACCAAGGGTTGGACTCGATGATCTCGGAGGTCTTTTCCAACCCAATCGATTCTATGATTCTATGATTCTATGAAAGAGCAGAGTGGAGCTGTTTGTAGAGGAATTTATGAGAATGATCAGAGAGAAAGACTTGAGAGGAAAAAGAAAGAAAAAGAAAAGTTAAGCTTAGATATGATGAGGCCTGCTTGAGGTTACCTGCCTGGCAGCTCTGCATCAGTAACTTCAGTGGGACAAAGAAGCCACAGTTGATTGCTCCAAACTGATATCTGCTTACTTCCATGGTCATGGGAATCTGATGCTCTCCCAACCATCATCAGCTCGTTGCTGCACTTCCATCATCACTTTCTACAACTCCCTGAAAGGAGGCTGCACCAAGGTGGGGGGCTGGCTTCTTCTCCCAGGCAACAAGTGACAGGACCACAGGAAATGGCCCCAAGTTGCACCAGAGGAAGTTCAGATTGGATATTAGGAAAAATTTCTTCACTAAAGGGCTGTCCTTGGAATCACACTATTTCCGATAGATCATAAAGATTTAACAAATGTTGAAGCAGAGCAAAACTTAATGAGCTGGGCTAATGTTAGTTGGAGACAGCAGAAAGGTGGAGAAATACTTAAGAATTGCAAAAAAAAAAAATTTCAAGAAATTATCCAAACAATACCTGGCTATATTTTTTTGAATCTTCTGAGAATTCTTTGTTTTCTTTGATTTGTGGTACATCCTTTTTTGTAAGTTCATCTATCCTTTCTTCACATTGTTCTTTTAATTCTTTCATCTGGTTGATGCACTGTGACCTGCAGAAAACATGAATAAGACAGTTAACTTTCATCCACACTCTTCTGAAACGTTCTTTTGTAAAATTATATATTTTTTAAACATGTTATTATTTCCTTAGTTCTATTATCTAGGCTTACATTTGAGAAGTCAGTAGGGAAAAGTGTTAACCTAAGTCCTAAGGACAAACTCATAGTGCAAGTGGTCCAAGTTCTATTGGGAGAAATTAATTTAAACAGCTTTTGTCTGACCAGCTCAACAAGCTACATGATTTTTGTGTGTGTGTGTGTGTGTCTTCCATGAACCACTCAATTTCAGTTAAGTTAAAGTAATTTTGATCCTTGAAGCATTTCTAGTATGATAACAGAAATTCATACTTTGATTTTAGCCAAGAAGAGGAAACAACGAAGTGCTAATTGAAATAAAAAACAGGTTGTTGATCTACTGTTAGCAAACTGGACACCCCTTCTCAATATTTCAGCAAAGTGCAGCACTGCAAGACATAAATTACAGAAATGGAGTTCATCAGTAGCTAATACAAGTTCCAAAAGGATATTCCCTAAAGATGCAAGCACAGTGTATCTTTTACATACTTTTAATATTTACACAGTGCCATTAAAATCTTAACCTTTGTGACAGCAGGGGTCTTCTGTTTGCATTTCTGCATCCTGCCCTTCCCTTACAGCTCCATAACTCCAAGGTAAGTCTTGGGCTGTTGCTGTAGTGTTTTTCCTAAAGCTCCCAGGGCAGTCTTTTCCCTTGCTGTGGTTGTGCTGGAGATTCTGTGCAAAGCCCAGGAGTGTTGCCTAGGTCAGTGTCTCAGGGGAAGTGCTGCAACTGGAGCAAGATCACCCTTTCTCCCCCGCTCTCTTCATAACTTGTAACTTTCCATTTATATCAGAGGAAGAAGAAGACCAAGACCTAGTGAGTAACAAAGCAGATAAGTATTACCCTGTAACACACAAACAGAAGGCTTATAAACTAGCCATCATATGACCCCAACTATGCTTTGATCCCCCTGTAAACAGGAACGAGCAGTAGTGTGATCAAGTGGATCCCACTGAGAAGTGCATCACATTAGAGGCAAATGTGGCAAAAAAGCACCATCATTGTCAGTACCCACTGCCCTGGAAAGCCTACCCGATCAAGAGTTTTGGCTGGGGACCACACTGTTTCTTTTCCCCACTGGTTGTAGCAGCAAAAGAGTTCGTTGCAGGGTTTAAACCTTTTTTCCTTTCTCTCTCTCCTTTGTTTTTTTCCATTCAAAAGTAACTATATGTCAGCTTAAGACCCTATAAACACATCTTTCTGCATCCAAAATCTCTCTCAACATCCTTTGTACAACACCACGGTCAACACACTGCAAGTTTCTCCTCCCTTTCACTTGGACAGAAGGGGGGGTAGATGTCTTCTGATTCTGGCTCTGACCAGTGTTATTGCAAGTGTTAATACCCCCAGTGTAGCAGCAGCTGGCTCAGACAGGCACATTCCAGTTTCTCAAGCTGCAAATAAGCTACTAACTAATCCAAAGGAATTCTCAGGGTATGTGCACTCATTTTTATTGCACTCTCACCCTTCTCCACCCCTGTTTTTCAAAAACAAAAGATCTGTTCTGTAGTTCACACCCAGAAAGGAAGAACAGTAGCAGATCGCTACACTATGAACCGACGAATTAATTACCCTTATTACCATCTCTTCTTCACTAGCCATTGTTCAAAAGTTTGATTTTACTAATGCTAGTACGAGGAAGAATCACCAAAATAAGCAGCGCTTCCCAAGCTGGTGAACATCAGAGACAATAAAACAACATAGGCTTGAGTTATGCACACGTTCATTAATTTCTAGGAAATTAAAGGACATCAGAATTACCTGTACCTCTTTGCAAGCTTAAGAAAGATGCACTATACAGACAACCTAAAGTTGGCGATAATGCAGCCTTCCACAAATGCTCTTTCATCCCACATTACAAATGAAAATGAAGTTCATTTAACATCTGTGACAAATACTCACTGTTTAAAATCTATTATCTGCAACAGAAATCACTTCTTTTAAAAGGGATTTCTGGAGATGTGAATACTCTACTCGTGCATACAAAAACAACTGCAGTACAGGGACAGCACTAGTTTCTGTCTCATCCGATCAACATGACATATTTCAAATGTGCAAAACCAATGCTCTTAAATTCAGTCTCTGTGGCATGTTTTCTCCCTCACAAGATTACATAGAGTAAATTTCTGGGCGAAAGAGATCACCTGCACACACAGAAAGGAGCCCAAGTAATACCCTCCCCAGCTGCTCCCAGGACTATCAAAGGAGACATCAGCCCATTCAAGACCCACCTCCATGAGCTCAAAGGAGCACAGAGGCACAAAGGTGGAGACAGCCTAAACTACAGACTCAGATCTGACAGCCTGACCAGACCATCCCCACAGCACATTTTGCACTAGTGGACAGCCACTCTCAGGGGAGAGGGACGCAGCTACTGGTGTTGTCTGTGCTCATACTTCATGTGTCTGTGTTAACCTGCGTAGCTGGCGTGTACAGATGTGCTCTGCATGCACGGGGACAGATATGCAGCCTCTCCCCTCCTGGTCTGCTGGATTTGCCAAACCCCAGCATGAGAAACAGAGTACCTTTGTTCTTCAGGAGCATATATCATTAGCTCCTTTCATCCCTGCCAAGAAAGATTGCTCATGCACTCACACTCTTGCACTTGTCAGGTCTGCAAATACCAAACTAATTAATCAGATTTTTTACACGTAGCAAAATTTCCAAAGAAGTAATTACATAAAAAACAAAGCTCTTGGGAATCAAAATGCATCTGAATATTGAAATGTATTTAAAAGATCAGTCCAGTGTTTCTTTCTGGGTGCCACAGGAGAGAAGGGTCAATGTGCCAGTCAGCCTTTGCTGAAGAAGCTCTACCATGAGCAGACAGCACTTGGCACAGTGTGCACCAAGGCTATCCCATGAAGTTGACTGCTGAGGAAAGTGCACTCCTTTGGCACGTAACATCAGTAAGTTCACATAGCTCCTGCTGACTTCTTTATGGAAAACACTAAGCTTGCTAAAAAAAAAAATGCTAAGATGAAATTTCAAGACTTGGGTACAAGAAAAAAACAATGACTTTTTTTTTCTAAGTTCATAGACTTTGTTCCTATGCATTCCACATGTACAACTGTTTTTACCACTGCCTTCTACAGAGTAGTATCTGAATGTTTAAAAAGAGTGATCCACAATGTGTACAGTTAAAAAAAGGCATTTGACTTCTTTCATCTTTTTATAACACTTTCAGTTATACAAATAATACTCTCTTCACTTTTGCACTGGGTAAACTGTACTTGATACATAAGGTGCAAAACCTTCATCCGTACAAATCCAGGTAAAAGAAAGAAGCACATAATCAGGTCTAATGCCCACTCCTGGCAAGGCAGATGAACAGAGAGGCAACATATCGGTATATTTCTAATGCTGACAGGAGGAAGGCAGACAGATTAAAACTAACGTTTGGAATCTAATAATTTTTATTTTTCTAGGCCCATAATTGCATTGGGAAAAGCTTGTTTCTAAGCATTTAAAGTGACAGCATTAAGTGAGCATTTAGGAAAGAAGAACATACGTAATGAAGTACAATCGAATATCCATTTCTACAGCTACCAGAACACAATGTAAAGTTATTTATTCTAGTAAACACAACAATGAAATATTAATGTTCCAACATCCTCCCTAAAGGCACACAACAAGTAACATCTTAAAAATACATTTATATATGTTTCTAACAGAACTGTGTGAATGCTGCACAGTACCCAAGCTATAAATTACTTCACGAAAATTTGAGTGCGAAGTTTATTTTCCTCACTTGTATAGTTACAATAAACATCTAGAAACAGAAAACAAACATTTAGGTATTATTCAGCAAAGCTAGTGAAGAAAGCATAACTCCTTGACTGAGATAACTGCCTTTATGGACTCCCATGGAGACACTGCAGGAAATGGTGCACCTGCCTCAGGACCAACTGGAGGCAGCTAGCTGAGTCCCTGTGCAGCTCCCACATGGCTGATTTATCACGTCTGTCTCTACACCTACCCTGACAAAAGAAACTCATCTTTACCATTGTAACATGCTTAGCTCTTCACCTTGAGCCAGCCCTGACCTTCCATTAAACGAAGAGGGATTCCCTTTAGTACACTACCACAAGCAGGGATGCTCTGCCAGTGATTTCCTCAACAGAGCTGAACACATTTCACCAATGAAAACATTTCACCAGATACGGGTAATAAATGAGTTTTCAGAAGTCAGACTCACTACAGTTGCTTTGTATCACTTCTCTGCACATGTTATCAATCCATTGCTTCATAGATGTACCTGTCATGTGGAGCATGACTGTACAGCACATACAGGTACCTAAGGATCCATTCATTCTTGCTGATCTCAGACTTAAAAGGAAGACACCAGCAAACAGATCCACTGACTAGCACCTGAGGTTCCATGAGTCCCAGGTCTGCCATTTAACTAAACAGCAAACAGATGGTGCTTAACAAGTGTGGTACGCAACAAGTGTAGAGAGGAAAAAGCACCTTAACAGACACATAGGCAATGTGGCTTAATGAAAAGTTGGTACAAACTGAAGTTTCCAACTTCCTTCTACTTTTCTGTTGGAAGTCTTAAATTACAACTCTGCTAATACAATCCATCTGGGTCATCATTATTAAATGAGTAATAACAAAAAAAAAAAAAAGTCACAACCAACTGGTAATCAGTAAGTATTGCAAAAGAAGTAATAATAATCCTTCATTCTAAGGTGGGGAAAAAAAAGGAAGAAAATAGGTACTTCAAGTTTAGCCTGCAGAATTCAAGTTCTTTGATTGCCATGTTCAGCTTTTAGTCATAATTCCTACAAAATCTGGCTAAACAATGGAAAAACATTGGCTAAACAAAATCTGGAAAAATACCTATCACTAAAACAGTTATATTCTTGATGGAAAATCGTTATGAGAACATGCAAACAGCAAATTCGATTGCTTTTTTTGTCTATACACCAGAGGAGAGATACAATAGAATGTGAAGGCAGGCAGAGGGAACAAGAATATTATTGAACAGAAAGAACCCAGGAGAAATTCAGAGAAATACCGGAAATGTGTATTTAGGGTAAGGATACTGGTAAGTACTTTTTTTTCAGTTATCCATGCTTTATAATTCAGTGGGATGTCTCAAGAAAAATGTGTGACTAGCTATGAACTGTAATGTAGAATACATGGTCTGATCAGTATGGTGCCAGAAATAACCCAAGGTCTCTGGCAGCTCAGTGAAGTACAGCTTCTCGTCAGGTACTCCCCTATCTGAATTCAAACTTCTTCAGAGTTTAGCCTCTTCATGTTTTAGTTTTCCCCCCAACTCTTAGGTGATTATACTCCTACCTTAGACCTCCTGCAATAGAAGGAACATCAAGAAGTGTGGGAGAAGCCTGTGGATACTGAGATTCCAAGATTGCAAGGTTTACACTCTTCTCACAACTGTGAGCAATTTTAGAAGATGTGTCAGATGTTACTTTCTCCTTAAAAACGTACATTTACCAACAGTACTATAGCTAACACAAGAATACTCTAGGTTATAATCAAGTCACCTACAACCTGGGAAGTCACCTTTTATAAAGCACATACTTACAGGTCATATGAGAACTTCCTCTGAAGGTTAGTCTGGTTCTTCTGAAACCAATAAACATCCAACTGCAGCTTTCCATATTCTGTCTGTAACTCTTTCAAGTGTTCTGATCAAAACAGGATTAAAATACATAGTAAAATACACCCAAATAAACATATACCTTCACATACAACAACAGAAATCTCAACAAATCAATAGTAAGCACACTAAATTAATTCATCTGTCATGCTAACTACATTTTGCATAAAAATGCATAGATGATTGTTGAATTTATTCAACAAGGATTCTCAGGGTTGGGCAAAAATAGCCTTTCAGCAAAATATACTAGCAAAAACAGTGTGACATATCTTTTTACCTACTTTTCTTCATCAGGAATATTCTGATTTGCAAACCCTGCTAGGTTTCAGCCCAGAAAATCTTTAGGTCTATGAAATCACAATCAGAACACAGCAAGAAACAGTACTCATGTTTATCGGCATCTAAAGACAAGCTTACAATGCTTCCCAAAATAATACGCAATTTACAGCTACGTTCCTGTATAAGAAACAGAAACAACGGAGGCACCTATAATTTAGAGTTTTCTTCCTGATAGAAAGCTCTGCATGAGGGCACCAGGAGGCGGTACACAACATATTTACTTGTTTATAGGACTTAGAATTCATTTCCCAGACCTCCTGAGGAATACATTGCTAGTAACAAATCTGAAGCACCAACATGAATAGAAATGAATTAGACTGAGTTTTCTTATTTAATATAGGCATTTGTGAATTCCTCCAGAGCTAAAATGCATGAGCCAACATCTAGGGAAAAATGCAAGAATATGCTGCAAAATTAAATACATTAATCTAGGTTTATTCTGTATTATTTTATATAGTAAGAGTAAGAAGTACTACATGGACAAATCCTTCTACCGTTGAGGTAGATTATTCTCACACTGGAACTATGGTTCTCACTTAACTGGAACTATGCAGAAGTATCTAAGTCATCACAGCTCCTGCACCATCCCCATGACTTGAAGAAAGGCAGCATTCTCAGATGACCCCAGAAAGATGCAAGGCTTAAAAACAGAGGGCCTAAAAAACAGCATGAGAGAGATGCACAGGGGTATTACAACATACCTCGTAGATTCTGAATCAGTCGATCATTTACTGTAATGTTTCTCAGCAGTATTGCCTGAAAGAAGCAAAACAAAAAACAGTGTTTTAACTGCAAAGGACTTGTATTACCATCAATATTATAAACAACACCTACCAAAGCACTTGTAACGATCTGTTTTTTGTGAAGTGCTGTGTTACAGTCAAACAAAAACTTTTAGCTGTTTTACAGATCTATCGCAAACAGCAAACATTCATTTTAACCCAGATTCCCCACTAAAGGGGGCATGGGAAACGTACTACTGCACAGATGCAAAGAGGAAGGATTTAAAAGTTAAAGATACTAAAATTGCTTGCTGCTTTATTGTACTTTAATCTCCTTGTACTTTAATTGACTGCAGTCACAGTCAAATTTACTGTATTTATCTCTTGAAGAAGAATACAGCATAGTACAGCTCACTATCAATTACCCTCTCACTCAGGAATCAATACACCTGCATTCAGGCATGCAAAGATGAGCTATGAAAGCATTAATGATTGAGCATAAAGGAACTTCACAAAAGCAATGTGAAGCCCTTGCATTGTATCCCTTTTCTAACTATCATCTCCACTGCTTTTGTGCTGGTCTTCTTCCATTCCCTCATTTTGCTCTCTCTCTCTCATTCTGAAGAGGTAGTCAACATAGGAATGTGTTTTGTCCATTCTTTCATTAACCTTCGTCTACCATTTCATATACACACATGCCCCACACCTGAAAACTGACAGAACCAAATCAAGACTAAATGAAATTAACTGCTGTGAGCAAGATACCAGGGTAACTCAAATTCATATTTAACATTTAGCAAGTGTGGTGTAGAAGAGTTCTTAAGACTACAAAAAGAAAGAAACCCACCTATTCTTCAGAAACAATCCAGTCCAGTCTTAGGAGAATATTTCTTAGGATTCAGTGCCTATTTCCTCATTATTCTTGTCCTGGGAAACCTCAGTGTTCAAGGGTCCCAGATCAGGATATACCAAGTCTCCAGTTTCCCAAAGTTTCTGCTCTAGTAGTGATGTGTACATATGTCCACACCACCCAACTGCGAAGAAACAGCAGCATCCATTCTGTCTGTCCAAGTCACCCTGAAACACTGACAACATCATCAGTGCCTTTTTTCACACAGACTACAGTAATAAGAGTTGATTAGCTGAAGTGCAGCGTTCAATCAGAGTGGACAGGCTAGCATCCAGCAGAAGAGCAGATTTGTCTTTGGTTGACCCTTTAAAGAGTCCCACTTCAAAGAGGCAGTCATCTACCTGTTACCGAAGTATTTCTACACCATTCTGTATGTAAAGCTGGTATGTGAAAACCACTGTGAAAACTCAAGAGCAAAGGTCTTGCTCATTTGTTAAAAAGGAAAATGAAAACCAAGTAACACTAATAACAGCGTATATGTTTAATATATCTCCCTCTCCTTTCCTATAGGTAAACAAAAAATGAATTTGCTTTCAATGGTTTATTGGAGAAAGGAAGCTAATATTTCAATGGAATTCCAAGTTTTGTTAATGCATGAACCATGTAGCCAGGTTGTTCCACTATTATCATCTTCAGGGTTGTGGCAGTTTGAGCCACGTTAGAAATCAAAAAAAAATCCAATTTTCAGGCTTCCCCCCACTCTTTACCACAATGTATCCTAACATCGGAGAGAAACTTTCAGGCCAGAGGCTTCTGTAGGGGAAGGGGGAAATATATACATTTATTTACACAAATACCATACAAACTAAAGGCAACTATATATATATATATATATATATATATATATATATTACTATCAGTCAGTCCTTTCAAGCCCCTCCTTTAACTTTAGTCCAGGAGCAGCCTTTAAGGCTGATGTGTAACAGTCTGCTGTGGGAGTGTTCTGGGCTCCTGAACACTCCCCCCTCACCAAGTTCCAGCAGTTGTTTGTTGCAGTCTCTCCTCACGAGGTCTAAGAAGATAGCTTTGAGTCCTTGCTCTTCTGCTGCTGGTGATTTCTCCCCCTCGGTGTCTCACCTTGGTTCGTAGGCTGCTGTAGTGTAGCTTAGCTTATCAAGCATCCACATCCTAGAATCTTCATTCCTCCACATCAGTTCTCAGCTGCCCCCAGTCAGCTTCGACAGGCAACTCCCGAGCTCTTGGCCCATCTCCAATCTCACCTGGGACTCTTCTCCCAAGCACCGAGCTGATTTATCAGCCTGTCCACTTGGCTCTGCTCAAGTACTGAGCCTCAAAATCCACCCCCCACCAGCCTAAATGCAGTGGGGGGAAAAGCCCCCTAGCCTTGGCCACAGGCAGCTCGGTTCAGTTATGCACTGTCCAAGCGTCCCACAGCTGCAGGGGGGGAAAGAAGGCCTGGCCTCCTCCCTCTTACCTCAGGTGCTGGGAATCTCTTCCTTCACAGCACACACTCCAAATGCTGACTCTAACTCTAGCCAAAGGCTGAGTTGGGGGGTCACAGGGCTCTCCTCTCCCCCCTGGAGGGGAAGAGAGGGAGCCCAGCCACCCCCTGGCCTTGTCCACCTACACGCAGCAGACACCAACAGCAAAACAACCAAGACAGAACTGCCAACAGCTTCCGGTGCTGTGATATGTGATTTTGAGCAGAAGCGAACAACATGAGCGGTGACTGGCTCTCCAGGGAACACTGTCCTGGCACCCAATCACCTCTGAGCCCCCACAGCTCTCAGGGGGGCCAATTTCAAACTATGACAGGGTATACAGCATTGGCCATTACTAGAAACTGTCAACGGACCAGAAAAATCAGTAGGATGTAGCAATTTTATGTTACTACAGTTTGTTGTGCTTTGGTTTTTTTGGTTTGTTGGGTTTGGGGTTTTTTTTTGGTTGGTTGGGGTTTTATTGGAGTGGAGCTTTGTTGGTTGTGGAGTTTTTTTCTTAAAATGAAACTCCCAAATACCAGGAGTGCTTATGTGACAGCAAAACAGACAAGTGTGAAATATTTTGCACGTCTGGACAATAATAACTGTGATTAGCTGAAGTGAGTAGAATTATTTGCCATGTATTTGCTCTTTGAATCACAACAGGGGAAAAAAGTGCGTCTTGGTCTTTCTGGATTGCATATAAAACTTTCTTTTGGCAATGCCACACCTATCTCCCTGAATGTGCAGGCAAGAGTCCAAGAAAAAGTAATAAAAATCTGGTTAGCTGTTTAACTTGAGCAGGAAATACTGTTTAATAATTTATAGGACCATATTGCAACTGCCAGCTTCCAATCTGACTGTCGCTCCAGTGTTAAGTAATCTTCACATCAAGGCTGTGAATTAAGCAAACATTGTTTTCTTTGGGGTTTTTATGCAGGTCAAGAAAGAAAACTGCTGGCAAGCACTGATCAGACATATGGCAATACTCAGTTCTAGAAAGCAACTCACATTTTAAACTTCATTTAGCCCACAAAACAATAGCTATCATCCCCAGAAAATTCAGCTTTTGGAAAATAACTGTATCACCACATCAAAATCTCATGTTCTGTGACAGAGTGACTCTGAAACATAGAACCAGCTTCTTATATTTGCAAATATGTCTTGCACAAAAGTCCCTCTGACTGCCACAGAGATAAAAATCAGTCTCCTGACTGAAGACAATGTTGTGGACAGCAAGTCTTCAGAAACCAAAAAATCAAAAGTCACACTTCCACCAGCAGTGAGGGAAAAATCTTGCTCCAGCTGTATGGCAAATTTTTTAATGACAACTGACAGAGATTTTGTCATTATTATTCACCGTAGAACATGTCTACATTAGTCACATTCCACTTAAGAAACACAAAGATAAAGTTACTGTTTAAAAAAACCCAAAAAAATAATGCAGAAATACACATGAGGGAGATTATTTCAAAACCTATGTTTTTGAGCACATGCTCTGGACTATGTACATGCATTTGATCCAACTAACACCTTACACAGTATTCTCCATAGATATATGCCTTGGAGAAATTACTACAATTACTCCTTCAGCATTTGCTACAATCATAAATCAAGCTAATCCAAGTACACCAAACTGACATGTGCTTTCTAACACTGACTGCAGGTGCTGTATATAGAAGCATGAGATATTGCAACAGGATAAAGAATTAAAACAGCAAAGAACATGATGAGCGTAAACACTGATTTTAAAACTAACACCTACGAAAAAAAGGGCTTTGAATTTACAAATATAGCACAAAGGAGACAAAGATGAGCCACAGGATCAGTAACTCACCTGCTAAGAACGAAACCAACTGGGAATAAAGCAAGATGGGAGGCTAAGATTTATACATGCAGAAACAGACATCTATATCTAATCAGGCAGAAGCAGGGCATAATTAACTCGAAGTGATTTAAGTCCTTACTGCAAAGAAAAAGAGTAGACCCATCTCGCATGTTCCCACTGCTCCCCAACACCATGCTGGTATTAGCACGAAAATAATGTTGGTAACACACTGATGTTTTAGTTGTTGCCAAGTAGTGCTTACCCTGAGTCAATGAGTTGCCAGTTTCCCATGCTCTGCCAGTGAGCAGGTGCATAAGAAGCCAGGAGGGAGCATAGCCAGGACAGCTGGCCAAAGTGATACTCCACACCATAGAATGTCATATCCAGTATATAAACTGAGGGGGTTGGTCAGGAGGCATTGATCACTGCTGGGGGATGGGATGGGCATTTGTCAGCTGGTGCTGAGCAACTGTATTGTGCATCTCTTGTTTCTCTTGGGTTTTATTCCTCTCTCTCTCCTTTTCATTACTGTCATTATTTCATTTTGATTCAGTTACTAAACTGTTCTTATCTCAAGCCATATGTTTTCTTCAAAAATCTAGGGAGAGGTGTGGGGACTGAGTAAGTGACTGCACAGTATTTAGTTGCCAGCTGGGGTTAAACCATGACAATGAGCCACAACAAGGCTTTTTCATTCTAGGCCAAGATATTAATGGCTAACTACATATTAGTATGTGGGAAAAAAAGTTCATAAATAAGATTCCTAAGAAATATTTCTCCTTTAGGTTGGCCTGGGTGCTACACACTCCTGTATACTTTAGTAGAGGCACATCAATTGAAGCAAGACTTAAAAC